GGAGGAGCTCTTGAAATGAAAACACAAGTTCCTGGAATTGAAGGAGACTGGAAAAGCTCACACTATGGACACTGTGAGTTCTGGGGATAGTGGACGCGCTGGGTCCACTGCTCCATTGCTCACGCACTCAGCCACCAGAACAGCGGCTTAGGCTGGAGTTTATGGAGGAAGGGGGACTGAAACAGGGTGATGGGCCACCATGAGCTCAGCTTGGGCAGTGACATTAATGCCCAAGGTCATTACTTCTCATGAAATGCCATCCTCGGGGCACAGACACCTCACATGGGGATCTGACTCTGCTCCCGGGATCCCGACAGCCTCTCCTGGAGCGCCCAGCCCCTGTGGAACATTTGTTTTGCTCAAGGGCTGATGAGAGCATGTCCCCAAGGACCACAGGCACACAGTCTTTCCTGTGGGGGTGATCACAGAAGATGGAGGAGTTAGGGGCTCAAGAGCTCTGGGCAAGGCAGAGCTTGGTTCCATCCTGATGGTGCCCCAGAAGCTGTGTGGTCTTGCACAAGTCACTCAACCTCTCTGAGTCTCCATTTCCTCCACTCTGGGGAAAATTAGCAGGCCTGCCCTGTGATTTGTTGGGGGGATTATATGAGATAGGGCACACAGAGCTCTCCGTATATGATGAACACTCAATAAGTATTAGCTATGGTGATTGTAAGGGCCTGGGTGTGTGTGTGCACAGGGAAACAGATGGATGGCGTGTAGTCCCTGCCCTCAAGTGTGGACAGTTGAGTCAAGGAAATGTACATGGACTCTTTGATTCATTCTACAGACAGATGCTTACTGACACCTACTATGTGACAGGCTTTGTGAGTCCTGACGCCCTTCTACAGCCGCCAGCCCAAATAATTGTCTAGCTGCTTCTTGATTATCTCCGCTGATGGTATCCTCACTACCTTACAGCCAGTTTCTTCTATTAGAAAATTCTGCTTCACACATATTAGTGGGGGAAAGTATGAACCCAACCGATTTGGGTTCAAGTCCAAATTCTGTCACTTACAACATATTGACCTTGGGCAAGTCACTTTCCTGATCTGTAAGACTGGGATAATGATACCAGCCACTGTGGGAAAGACAAAAGGAAATGGGCCAGAGGAACTGAAGTCTAGCTCAAGACTCACGCCTAGCAGTCACCAGGGTGATGGTCTGCAATGGACGGACCGGCTAGGATGCTAGAAGAAGCTATAGCCATGATCTCATTTGGCACTTGCTCCCAGTACCTTGTGTGTGGGGGGGGGGGGGAGGGGGGGGCAGCATCTAGCAGTAAGAACGTCATTGTGCAATGGAGAAAACCAAGGCTCAGGACGGGAACTTCCAGAGTCGCATGGACAGTACGTGGCAAAGGCTAGACTTGACACGATACAGTGTATCTGAAACACGGATCAGCCCCTATCATTCTGCTGCTGAAATCCTTCAAGAAATGACTGCAGCCACCTCCAGCCCAAGGCCTGAGACCTTAGCAAGGCATCCGAGGCCCTCCTTGACCTGTGCTGCCCAATGATGTCATCGGCGTCCGTTCTAGCCTCCGCCTCCTCCCACCTCCTCCCTGCACCCTATACCAGCTCACCACACTTCCCCCATGCTCCAGAAACAAGTAGTGCTTGCAGCGCATGGCCTTTGCACATGCTGGGCCTTCTGCTTTGGTGCCTTTCCTTGCCGCCCTAGTCCTGCTCATCCCTCACGGTCCACTTCCCACACCTCTCCGAAGGGCCCTCTGAGGCCCCAGCAGACACCGCCAGCCCTCCCTCCTCTGTGCTCCCACAGGCGGTCCCTCGGGGCCTCCCACTGCATCCCCACTGGATGCCCAGGGCCCGTGTGCCAGTGCCTGGAGCAAAGTGAGAGCTGACTAGAGATGGGTTGGTGAGCAGATGAAGGGAGAGCGAATGAATGAACGAGTGGCTGCCACCTTATAGCACTGAGCACGCTGAACTGCAGTTACCATTTAGACGTCTGTTGGCCTCATGGCGCAGCGAGCTAACAAGGACAGGGACTGTGTCTTATGCACCCCCGCTTCCCTCGAGCCTGGCACAAAGCCGGGCACATGGTAGGTGTTCACCAAGCACCTGTCCATAGGATGCATGAGAGAGTCAACGTGCATTTCCCCGAGGGCAGGAGCCACAGGCCATCCTCCCGCCTCCCTGCACGCACACACACACACACAGAGAAATGATTATAAGGAGTCTGCACTTACTGGTGACCTGTAGTCACTTCCCCTAGGGTGCCGATGTTGGACACGGCAGCTGGATTCAGGGGGTCTTGCACCAAACCCAGGAGTTCTGGTACCCACCGTGCCAGCTCTTCTCCCCTTGATGCAGTCTGGGAGGTTTCACACCACTAGATGGCGCCAACTGCAAGGCTAGCTCAGCAGACCCAGCACCCATCCCTCCACTGCCTGCAGGTCCCAGAACCGCTTCCCTCGTCCATGGGGCTTTCCCTTGAGGAGACCGCATGCCCTGGAGCTCCTGGCAGGTACCTGTAAAGGAGGCTCCCTTCTGGGGATCCTCAACGTGGTATGGAGACTGCAGGGCAGACAGTGACCATGTGGGGAGGGGTACCCACCAGGCTGCAGCCCACCCAGCTCAGCTCCAAGTGTCCAGACCCCCAGCCCTGGACTGGGCCCTACGGGGGCGGGAGAAGAAGTGCAGGGGGAAAGTCATGCCTTTAAGCGTCTGCCAGGTGCCAGCCTCTGCTAGTGTTTCCACATATGCAATGCCCCTCACCTCCCAACAGCTCCCAGAGGGGACATTATTGTGGCTGTATCACAGATGGGGTCTTTGAGGCTCAGAAAGGTTAGGAAGATTGTCGAAGGCCACATAGAGAGAACCCACTGCTGACGGCCTCATGTCCCATGCTGTTTTCTTGACACTCAAACTTAGAGCCCAGAGGAGTGGTTCTAGGATGGGAGGTCCTGAATATCAAGGGATGCCAAACCCCTTGTAGTCAACAATCCACCATCCATCTATCTCACCAGGCAACTTACGAAGCCCTGCTGGGTGCCGTGTGCCCTGTTGCAGGCACACAGGGAGCAGTAAGGCACAGACGCTGCCCTTTCAAGTTCTCATTCTGGGTGGGGAGGCAGCACCTCTAACACGGCCTGGGAAAAGCACGGAAGGCTTCCTGGAGGAGAGGGGCTTTTTTATTTCCTCTACCAAGCGTGTGTCCTGAGGGTCTGGGGACTGGTGAGAGATGGTCCACAAGTGTTCTTGTAGCTCTGGGCCGTCCACTGTCAGACCGACAAGAAAAAGCCTCTCCCCACAGTCAGAGAGGCGGGTGTGTGTTTGGATGATTTTACTGATTTGGGGTTTGGGGTTCTGTCGGATCATGTTGTGTATTTGAGGAGAAGCAAATGAGGGCAGGCACCTAATCCTCGCAGGTGGACGCAGACCAGCCCTGCCGCCCCCGCCAGCAGACCCGCCCGAACCCAAGCTCTCGGTGACAAACTTCAAGTCCAGGTTTGCCTTTGTGACTTTCACGGCCCTGTGTTTGTGGAGTCAATCTTTCCCGCACTTACCGTGTGCCCAGCCCAGGTCCAAGAGTCCATCTACAGCACCTCAACCTCGACCGTCTCTCCCGGCCCCTGGTCCTCGCCGCCACGCATGCAAGGGAGGACTTCAGTCACCACGGGTGTTCAGAGAGGTCCCGGGGCTCCCCTGGGATGCCCAGCACACAGCCTCATATTGTAACAAATCACGTCTCAGGTCTGTCCCTCCCATACGCTGTGGGGTCCCCAGGCACAAAGAACTTTACGATTCCTTTTAAGCGCCTAAAACTCATGAGAGACTATGAGGTAGCTCAACAAACATTTGTTGAGTGACTGAAAGAGCCCAGGGGAGGCAAATGGAAAAGGTACAGACATGAGAGTCGGAGAGCCATTTGCGTCCAGGCCCTGACGTGGACTGTGTCATCCTGGATGCTATCTCTACCTCCTTGGGTCTCAGTTTCCTCCTCAGAAAAAGAGAGGGAGAATCTGTCTGCATATGTCAGCATCTGTTGTTCAAAGAAGGAAATGCAGGTCTATAAGTTCCAGGAGCAAGGTCCCTCTGGTTCGAGATGGAGGGGGTGGCCTGGGGCCCCACCAGCCCCGCCTGTGCCCCCTACAGAAGCCCTGGCCACCACAGGACCCGCTGGGAGAAGCCCTGGACAGGAGGCTCTTGGAGCCTTATTTCCCCTTCCCAGCTGGCCCGTTGTCGTGTCCATCCTATTTGCCAGGATGAAGCTGAACCTACTGGCCTGGGGATGGGAGCAGGCTATGGGGAGGGGGAGCGGGGCGGGGTCCCTTGTGCTTTGTGCAGAATAAAGCTCTTCTCTGCAGGGTTTGTGCTGCCAACAGGAGCAAAACTCCCATCCCATGGGGCGGGGCGGGCCAGTGGCAAGGAGCTGTGAGGTTGTACACCTGCTGCCTCCTGCGGCAGCCCTTTCCTGGTGCTCCAAGGTGAAAATAATCACGATAACAGTCATAACAGTAATAGTAAGTGCGCCGGCTGAGACCCAGCATTGATGTGGGTCCACTGGTTCTGTGAGCCCTTGAGGACCCTTAGTGGAATAAAGAGCGTGGATCTTCAGGACGCAGAGAAAAAAGCAGTGGGAGCTGGGGAGCATCTCACAACGTGACATCAGAGGGATTTACTCCTCAAAGCCTCCGCTCCCTCATTAGTAAAGCAAGGCCGACTCATGCCCCTCCTGGCTTGTGGGATGTTCACGTAGGAGAGAAAACACACACAAGGCTCCGCAGGCCAGAGTTCTGATGCAGAATCCACCAGCAGGGGCATTCGGGCCATTGGCTTAACATCTCCGAACTCTGGGCTCCTCCGTCTTATTTGTTTTATCGAGGCAAAAGGAGATGGCTGGCCATTAAAAGCAGGGTAGAAAAACATAACTTTATGTAACCTTTTCAAATGCCATGAAGACGGGAATGTGGCCGCAGGCCGTTTGGACTTTGGCAGCCCTGCCTGGCAGCCCCCTTTATCTCTGCCGTTCCCCCGCAGGCCCTCTCTCCAGCCCCCATGGCCATGGCCTTCACCCCCGCGCCGCTGGAGGACACATACTCACGCCCCCAGTTCTGCAAGTGGCCATGCGAGTGCCCGGCGTCCCCACCCCGATGCCCGCTGGGGGTGAGCCTCATCACCGACGGCTGTGAATGCTGCAAGATGTGCGCTCAGCAGCTCGGGGACAACTGCACAGAGGCCGCTGTCTGTGACCCCCACCGGGGCCTCTATTGCGACTACAGTGGGGACCGCCCGAGGTACGCAATAGGAGTGTGTGCACGTAAGTGAGACCCCCTCTCCTTCCAGCAGCCCCTAGCACCCCCCCGCTCCGGCTCAGGGCCCCTCACCTTTTGCCTGGCCAGGCTCCTGTGCTGCAGGAGGTACCCCTGGGACCCACTCCAGTCCCTGATGGAAGTCCAGGAGCTGGGCCCTTCCAAGGAGGGAGAGATGCTTGGCTTCCTGCTCTCTTCTCAATCCCGGAGCCACATCCACGGCTGACTCCAGGGTACAGCGAGCCACACGGGAAAGACCTAAGTCTGGTTTCCTTCTTAGTGGTGGGACCCTGTGCTGGATACCCATGGCTCCCGGGGGCTCCAGGACCCTGCAGAGCTCCTGGTATTTTAGTAATATCGTAAATGAAAGTAACACGGTTTAAAAATTTCAGGAGCCTTCAAAAAATAAAACTCAGCAGGCTGCGAGCACGTGCTCCTGCCACCCGCCCACGTGCCTGCCATTACTACAGTCCCTTAGAACATTTTAGCCCTTTCTTCTGCTGGTTATCAGCATACAACATGGGTCTTCTGTTATACCTTGATTGGCTTAAAATATCAATTGTGGGTAATCCACTAATGATCCTGTAAGACAGCTGATGACTTAGCTCCTCCATCCCAGCTGACATCTCCCCATCTTCCAATATCCTTGTCCTATTTTTAGTTATATGATTACCACTATTTACAATATTATGACTATGTAAATATTGTTCGGGGCAGCCTGAGATAAGAGTACTTGTCTGAATCTCCTTTCTTGTGAAGCCGTTTGTTTTCCTGGGGTTACTATTTGCCTTTGCTTTTTCTTTATTCTTGATCTTTATAATAGTCTCCTATGGGGGGGCTGTTGTTGTTTGTCGTTTGTTTGCTCTTCAAGTGCTCCACCATGTTCTTTTTTGTTCCCAGAGACCTCCATTCTGGGACTTTCTGGTCTCCTGCTCATATCTGGATGGGCATTCACTTACCTTGAGTCATCTAAGCATTTATCCAAGATACACGACCCAGCATGACCAAGAGAGGGAACTAGGCATCATGACACAGCAGGCTAACTTCTGAAAAGTTACATGAACCCTCATAAACCCAAGTGCCCCTTTCTTCCCTTAGTGTTGAATCAAGCTTTCTCCATAATTATCACACCCTAGAGACCCCATTACACACTCACACACAGCAAGCTCTCATCCTCAGCTAGCCCATATGTTTCCCGAAGTGGGCTGCTGGTGACGGTTACGCCCATAATTCCAAGTCAGACAGTCCTATCTGAGCCTCACGGTGAATTTACGAGCACTTTCTGCTCTTTTGTCATTGGTTCATACTTCAGCTCTCATACCAAGTCATCGGTCTTCAGCTTTCCAAGTAGCTACGTTGATTCTCCCATCCGGCACTTTTTTCCCCTTTACTCAGACTCATTATCGGCCCCACAAAATAGTGTGTTCAAAAAGAACCTGCAGCATCACCTGAACAGAGTCATCTGACGCGTAGTTTAAGAAGGTTATTCCTGAGCCCCACCCCGACTTACTGATTCCAATTCTCTGGAAGCGGACATGGGAATCTACACCTTAACCAAACCTCCCAGGGGATTCTCACGGATGCTCCCGTTTGAGACTGACGGCTCCTATCCACCGGCAGGCACATCCTTTCTCCCCACACCCAGGTGAGCCAGCCTGGCTGAGCCTTCCTGCACTAGAACCACCTCCAGGCATATGAGATGGTCTCACCACCTCTTTTCTCGTTTATAGCTGTTCTTCAAGGTTATTACCAAGGTAATTCAGTTTGCTGCGATTATACTAATCTCTAGAGCTGTATTGACATCTTACCACGTGCCAGGCACCACACCTTTACAGGCATTCTCTCATGGACCAGAGGTTGCACAGGCCCAGAACTGCCTCTCCTGCCCGCCTTCCCTACCAGGGGCCTGAAGACCACCCTCTAAACCACCCCTGCCCCCATCTCTGTATCTCACGTCCTTCTGTCACTCATCAGAGCGTCTTAATTCCCCCTCATCACGAGTCTCTGAGTATTTCCTTTCCTTTTATCTGGAAAGAAAAGTCTGGTCTGCAGAAGATTTTAATAAGTATTACCCTTGCCAAGGGTTCCCTGGTCATATAGGTTTACAGATATTGGAACAAAGCTAAACAATGTCATAGAACTTCTCAGAGGTTTTAAATGTTCACGTCCATTGTCAAATTCCAAAAGGGGAGCTATCATTAGACTTTTCTTTTCAAACTTATTTGCCCAGTGAACAGTTTGTCCAGGTAGATTTTTACCCACCCACGCATCCCACCACACATACACACGCATACACTCACACAGACACACACATCTCATGCATACATGGGTTCACATACACACACACACATAACTCGCTAGGGTTCTACTGAACATCTTCCTAGAAATGATGCCATAGTGTCTGAGCTTGTGAGACCCTAATGCAAGAAAGGAGAGTCCAGGGTCTGAAGGCTAGAGAGAGCAAGGCACTTCAGGACCAGAAGGGAAGGAGAAAGAAGAGTTCCCTTAAGTAAACACTCTTTCAGCAGATGGTCAACTCAACCAATGGTCGATCACCAGGACGGGCTGAATCTGCCTGGAGATGTGCGAGTAATCAGGCCAGGACAAGGGAATAAAAATGAGCAATTGCACCACTAGCTCATATAACTCAAAAGAGAGAATGCTGGGGACTCAGGCAAACCAGTGCACACAAGGTTTGGCTACCAGGGATCACCTCTACTGGGCCCCGGCCACTGTGACCAGGCAGAAAAGTGAACTTGGTCTTGTCTAGTCTGCTCTGTTTTCAAGAGAATCCAGAAATCCAGATTTACATATGATTTGTAAATGTTGGCAACCGGTTCAAAAATTTTTTTAAAAACACTCTGTGGGCCAAACTAAACAGATCTGTGGGCAGAGAGTGACCTCTGAATTGGCCTGTTTGGCTATTTCGGTTGTACAAACACCACTCTGCATTTAATGCAGCTGGGTGGGGCCTGAGGGCAGTGTGGTTTGCTGGAAGCATCATGAAACTTACAGGCAGACAGACTTGGCTTTTGAATCCTGGCTCTGCCACTTACTGGCTACGTGACCTTGGGCACGTCACTTAAGGAACTTGATCCAACCAACCTCGTGTGGTTGTTGAGATTAAACAAAGGGACACATTAGAGCCTCTGATGTGATCGGCAGCTCGAGGTCATTGTTTTCTTCGCTTTGTTTGAACTTTCCCTCAAAGACGTCATCTTAGCCTTGTCCACGGTCATCCCCAGAGTCGCCAGCAGGTCTGGCTGCAGGCTAAGACTCCCCAATGGGAACAGTGAGGAAGCAGAAAACCCACACATGGTCTCTGGAGCTAGACGACCTAAATCTGAATCTCAGCACCATGACTAACTAGTATGATGACATTAGGCAAGCAACTTAACCTCTTGAGTATCAGTTTCCTCATCAAAGAAAATGCAACAAATAACGCCTACCTCTTTGATGGCTGGGATGTCCAGTGCCTGATACATGTGAAGAGCCCAATAAAAATGAGGGCTCACCCCACCTCACATCCATCCATCCACGCATCCATTCACACAGTGAACACAGGTGAGTGATAATACAACAATGGGGTGACAAGGCATGACCCACTGTCCTGCTCCCATGCAGCTGACAGTCCATCAGGGGTGTGGGGGATGAGGGGAGTGAGGGTCCAGATGGCAGAGCAAGGTGACTTGAATTCCTGGAAATCCTTCAATGAGAAGAAAGCTCACCAGGTCATGCTTGGACTTGCAGGTCTGAGATTAGATAGGAGACGGTAAAGGAAACTCAGTCAGCTTCACCTTCTGGTTAGCAGCTGGTCCTTCCACTGGTTAGAAAGAAAGTGAATGAGGAGGGGGTACTGGAGTCCGCTGATGAGCCCACACACAGCCATCATACATATCATACACCCCATTAAACATCTCATACAGCCATGACACATATCACACATCCCCGGCCCACCCACGCCCCAATCAAAGCTCCCAGGAGACTGAGAGCCACTTCCAGATGCAGTGGTTTCCAATCTTGGCTGCCAATTGGATTCCTCTGGGGAGCTCTGAAAACTACCCAGGCCAAAAAAGTAAAAACACAGAGGCCCAGGTCCACCCCCATATTCCGGGATACAGTTTGGGCATCAGCATTGTAAAAAACTCCCCAGCGGATGTGGTCGTGCAGCTGGTGGTGAGAACCACCATGTTCGGGCTCCCAGCACTGCCCTCTCCATCCAGAGTTCCCACACCCAGAGGCAGGGATGGGAGCTTCGGCACACTCCTTTCTCCCCCTCTGCCAACGCGTGCATGCACACAAGCACGCACAGCTTCCTGGAGCAAGAGGGTAGGTGTGGTCCGGTGACTCGAGGAAAGCAAAGATGAGTGATTCACCCAACGCCTCCTCTGCTTGGTTTTGTTTCCCTGTTTCCCCTCCCTGACTGGTGTCTGGTGGAAGGAAATGGGCTGGGGAGTCAGCTCCCTTGGGTTTGAGGCGCAGCTCTATCTTCACCAGCTGGGTGACCTTGAGCTGATGAATCACTTGACCCTCCTGAGCTTTCCTGTCTGCCAAATGAAGAAAATAAAGCTCTCCTGGTGTAATGACTGGGGGACGGAACGAGGGAACGTGTCAGATGGTGCCCGGCAGGAGATCAGAGGGTCAGGAAGTGTGAGTGCCTTTCCTTTGTCGGCTTCTTCCCTGCACCCGGCAGTACGTGAACATTCCCACAGGCGAGTTGCTGCTGCCACTGTGCCACCAGCTCCAACACCCGGGGCACACGACTTAACCTTGCCGAGACTCGGTTTTGCCGTAGGTGACAATGAAGGTGATGATGTGGTAGCGTTTCCACCCAGGCTGAAATCAGCAGAGCAAGAAAGCCTGACACAGAACAGGTCATGTGACCAAGAACAGAGACCGTACTTGAGAAACATTCGCTTCTGTTAGACACTGGGATTGTTACTATTTAATAACCACCTCCAGGCAAATACAGGAGATAGGCGGCCACTCTTGGCGGACTGTGGATTCCAAACTAGCCTCCTGGGGTGGGCACCTTGCTGCCCCAGCTTTCTGCCTGCACTTCCAGACACTGTCCTCATGGCTGGTGGGGGCACTGGCCGGGGCCTGGCAGCCCCAGATCACTCCTGGAACTCCAGAGCTGCATGACCGACTCCACCTGCTCCTCCCAGGAGAACACCTCCTTCCTTCCAGGGCTCAGGTCACAGAACTGGAAGTCATTCCCCACTCCTCTCCCTCTCATCCTCGCATCCCATCCATCAGCAAGTCCCGGCAGCTCTTCCTTCCAAACAGATCCAGAACCTGAGCTCCTCTCCTCATGGTTCTCGGTCCCTTCCTGGTCCAGGCACCACGGCCTCCCTCCTGGATTACCCAGGTGGCCTCCTGACGCTGTCCTCATTGCCTCCAGTCTATTCTCAACTCAGCACCACCAGCATTCCGTGAAGCATCACTCCTATCATTGATTCAACAGTTCCTTATGGAGTGCCTACTGTGTGCCAGGCACAGTTCTAGGCTCTAACCGCTTTGCATCCTCCTCTGAGCCTACAAGGAAGCCCCCTCTCACCTCATCCCCTGCCCACTCCCCGGCCCTCTCTCACATCCCAGGCCTCTAAAGACCTGCTCCCCTCTCAGGTCTTTACACCCACAGACCCCTCCCTGCCTGGAAGGCTCCTCCCCTCCTCCCTGTCTTTGCTGAAGCACCATCGCCTCAGTGAGGCCGCGTCTGCCCCCTGATTTCAATCTGCATCTGCCCTCCCCCCGCCCCCTCCCCACTCCCCGTCCCGCTTCACTTTTCTCCTTGGCCCTGTCCCCATCGACATCCTAGACAATCTGTCTTCCCTCCGTCACCCCCACGGGAGTGTGAGATCTGGGAGAATGTGGCTCTTGTCTGTTTTGTTCACCCCTGAATCTCCAAAGCCTACAACACCCCCCCCCCCCCAAATATGCCTGAATGAGCGGAATCTGCGTTTCCAAGTGTTCCGACTGGTTTTACAAACCGTGACCCTACAGGCAAATATCTGTCAGTAGGAGCCCTTGTGTCCTCCTTGTGCTGGGGATGGGACAGGACGCTAGCCGCCGGGGACCGTCTCCTGGCCGCGTGTATCCCCTCACTCTGGCAAGGGGTGTTCCTCAGTGGGTGGCAGCTGAAGCCATACAGGAACTCTGCACTCCCTCTGCTCAAAAGCCACCCAGCTCCCCATGGCTGCCTGGGCCCCGTCCTTTCGCCCCGCACCAGCCCCACGGTGGGAGGGATTCCCAGGGTGTGGGCGCTGGTGGGGCAGTGGGAGGGCCCCCAGGACTGGGTCCGGTGCCCACGGGGCCTGACCCTGCCACCTGTGTCCGCAGAGGTGGTCGGCGTGGGCTGCGTCCTGGACGGGGTGCGCTACAACAACGGCCAGTCCTTCCAGCCCAGCTGCAAGTACAACTGCACGTGCGTGGACGGCGCAGTGGGCTGCACGCCGCTGTGCCTGCGCGCGCGCCCCCCTCGCCTCTGGTGCCGCCGCCCCCGGCGCGTGAGCGTGCCCGGCCGCTGCTGCGAGCAGTGGGTGTGCGACGACGACGCCGCCACGAGGCCGCGTAAGACGGCGCCGCGCCACACGGGTGGCTTCGGTGGGTGCAGGGCGCGGGGCGCGGGGTGCGGGGCGGGGGATGCCAGTTCCTGGGGGCGGAGGCAGACCTCCCTGGAGCTCTGACTGCGTGTGATTGACACAAGCCCCTGAGTCCCCTTCCCCAGTCCACCAGGCACCAGCAGCCCTGTGACCTTGGGAAGGTCACATCCCCTCTGGACCCTATTTCTCCATGGGTAAAATAGAAACACTTCCCTCTGTCCCGCCTGCCCTATGGGATCCTGGGAGCATAAAATGAGGAAGTGCTTTGTAAAGAACAAAGCCAGACACGTGCGATTCATGTTATCCTACTTAAGAGATTAGGTGGGGGTGTGAGGCGGAGGAGGAGAGGCGTGAACAGCAGGCGCAAGGGCGGGAGAGGAGTAGACGGCCTCCCCCTCACTATGGAGGATGGGTGGACAGGTGAGGCTTCAGCCGGGTAAGCCTGGCCAGAGGAAGCTCTGGAAAGGAAAACAGCCTGTTTGTTTCAGCTCTGCTCACTGGAGCCTAGCCCAGTGCCAGACTTAGAAGGTACCAAATCAGTGCTTGTCATAGGGATGGATGGATGGATGGATGGATGGACAGATGGAGGAACAGACAGGTAGATGGATGGATGGGCTAATGAGGGTCTGAAGTAGGGCAGTGGGAATAGATGTCGCAAGGAAGAGACAGATGCGAGAGGCATTGCTCGAGAAAACTGAAGGTCTGGGAGTCAATCCAAGGCATCAAGTGAGGGAGAGAGAGAGAGTAGAGGATGACTCCCAGGGTACATCACTGCCTAGGACAGAATATGAGAGAGTGCATTTGGGGTGAAGCAGATCTGTGCTGTTTGAGACAGGTGGAGTTTGAGGCAGGGCGCCCTGCCCTGGGCTCACCCAGAGGAGGGTCCCATGGGGGCAGCATTGGAGGAGGGAGACGCGGCAGAGACAGAGAGCTCTGGAACTCACCTGGAGCTGCTGGCGGGGTGGGATGGCCCAGAGATGATGGACGGAGGCAGACAGAGGGGGCCTGGGGCGGAGGTCTGGGGGGCTGACGGTGAGGAGCGGACAGAAGAAGAGGAGGCCGAGGCGGAGACAGGAAAGTCATGGATGTAAGAGGAAAACCAGGAGCGTCTGATGACGCAAAAGACGGCAGATGAGGACATTTCTAGAAGGAAAGCGTCTCCCAGGCAAGTGGACATGAAGGAATGAAGAAATGGCGATAGGGTTTGAGAGTTAAGCGGACTGGTAATTTTTTAAAAATTCTAAGTGCGTGAGATTGCCGAGGGAGACTGGAGAGCAGCGTTTCTCAACCTTGGTCCTGACACCGTTTTGGACCAGATAATTCTTTGTGGTGGGGACTGCCCTGTGCATTGTGGAATGTTTAGCAGCATCCTCGGCCTCTGCCTCCTAGATACCCATAGCACTAACCCCCCAAGTAGTAAGAACCAAAAATACCTCCGGATGTTGCCAGTTGTGCCCTGGAGGACAACATCACCCCAGTGGAGAACACGAGTGTACCCCTGGAGACACCACTGTTTAAGGGAGGAAAAGACGCTGAGAAAGGCAAATCCAAGAGGCAGGACAGAAACAGGAGAAAGAGGGTTTGCAGAAGCCAAGAAAGTGTTTCAGAGAAGAACAAACTGGAAAGCAGGAAAGAAGAGGGGAGAACAGGACCTGCCCAGACAATAGAGACCTGCCTCCTGGCTGCATGGCTGGGTGTGACTAGACCAGGAAGGAGGGCGTCCCCCCGACCCCTCACTTCAGGCATGCACCACCTCTGTGTGGGTGCCCCACAGGGGCTGAGCCAGCCCCATGAGCAAGCAGGCCCGTGTCGATGGAGCAGGTGGCAGGGAAAGCTCTGTGGCTAGCAGGCCCAGAGTGGCAGTCCCACCATGACCCCCCTTGGCAGAGCCACACAAGGGTCACAGGGGGACGGGCAGCAGCTGTCTGCCCATTGTGTGTGGCCCAGTGACCCCGTTCTGACCGAGTAGCCACAGAGCCTCTGCCTGCCTGCTGGGTGACCCAGAAACCAAAGTCCTTTCATCCTCCTAGCAAATCCCTTCCCACTGCTTCCCTCCCTCCAGGCCCACAGCCCAGCCCAGCCCCTTCTCTCCTCTTTTTTATCCATCTGCCAAACCTCCCCTCCTCTCACCCATTCACTCCCATGTTCGTCCATCCATGTTCCCTGCACACCTGTTAGCTCAGCTCGGAGGGGCTGGGAGCCAGCACAAGCCTTCCTTTCTCCTGCTCTCATTAGATGTCTTTTTTTTCCTGTTTTCCCCTCTCTTCTATTCCCCCGCTTCTTTTATGACTTTTCTCTCCCCTCCCTATTCTCTGTCTCTGCCCCTCTCCCTTTCTCCCCGCCACCCCGCCTTCCTCTCTGTCTCCCTCCCCTCTCTTCTCTGCTGTCCATCTGTCTGTCCACTCCTCCCTCTCTGCCTCTTCCTTTCCCTCTGGCTTTTGGTGGTAGCCCCCATGCGTCAGGGCAGGGCTGGCTTCCTCTCTGGGTCTTTCTCTTGTATATCTGGTTCCATCTTTCTGTGCGGTCTCCCCTTTGTCTTGCTGGCTCTTTACCTGCCTCCATCTGTAGCTCACGCCCTATCCCGCTTGTCAGAGAGTTCCTGAGCACTCCCCGTGTGTTCTGGATGCTGGGATGCAGGCATTCACAGAACCATCCAAGAGCTGGTGTTTAGTTGGCCGACACTCAGGTACCCACGCAAGTTCCCCCTCATTGAGGGCTTACGGAGGGCAGGGCCAGCTTGAGTGCTTTCATACCTGTGAACCCATCTTTTCCGCCCACAGCCCTGGGAGGAAGATGCTGTGATGCTGTTGCAAGTGGGGAGCCCGAGGCACAGAGGCGGAAGGGACCTTATTGGGAGTAGCCGAGCTACTAGGCGGCCTTGCTCACAGATGAACCAGGCAATTTGACTCTGAAGCCTGTGTGTCCCCTTAACCACTGTGCCCTCAGCATCACCCAGATAAAACATTAGGGACTACGGTGTAGGCACTCCCCTTTGACCCTCCCTGAATAGACTTCATCTCTTCAGAGTCAGGAACAGCATCTTCTAACCTTTCATTCCCAGCGCCTTGTAGATACCTGCTGTATACTCAGTTGATATCCACACCCTTTTCTTCTCATACCAGCCCCACAAGGCAGATGTTATTGTCCTGACTAGAGACTGAGGCCCAGAGTGAGTTCTCTAGGATCCCACAGCTTGTAGGTGGGCGAACAGGATTTGAACTCAGTCCACATGTCTCTAAAGATGGTCTTCCCTCCGGAGAAGTAGAAGGAGCTCAGAACAAGTCCTCCTCTGCCAGCTGGTTAGAAAGTCAACTTGTCCTCCTGTGGACACTTCTCCCCTCCCTGAGTTGCAGGGACCCCACCCCTAAGTGTGGCAGTGGTGGAACTGGGGGCTGACAGAGGCTGGAGACTCACAGGGACTCTGGTGCCCATCCGCAGCGGCCGCGGCCGAGGGAGAGCCATGGCACAGGAACTGCATAGCCTTCACGAGCCCCTGGAGCCCCTGTTCCACCACCTGCGGCCTGGGGGTCTCCACTCGGATCTCCAACGTCAATGCCCGGTGCTGGCCTGAGCAGGAAAGCCGCCTCTGCAACCTGCGGCCGTGTGACGTGCACCTCCATCCACTCATCAAGGTGAGTCTCCCTTCGGCGGGGGGAGGGTGGGGGGCAGTCACCTGGGACCTAACAGACAAGCCTGGCTTGGAGCCTGGCTCCTGACCTTCTTCATGGGGGCCATTGGTAGAAGGGGAATAATTAAGCCCACCTCGTAACAGTTATGGGATCAAGTATATCATGGGGCTGGTGTTGGTGAATTTCACTCAACGGAAATGACGGTGGTGACCATACTATGAAAGTCAAGGTCACTCTGGAGAGAACCCAGGGACCCTCAGAGGTGCTCTCTTGTGATGATTCTCAGGGACCCTCGCCGACTGCCATTTTCCCTCTGCTCTGGGGCCAGCCCACACCCACGAGCGTGCTGGTGTGACAGCCACATGGCATGATAGGGGAGCCCTGGACAGCTGGACTCACATGCCCGTCTGCTGCTGACGTCCGTGGCGGTGGCCAGTTTCCTTGCCTCTCTGAGCCCCAGACCCCTCATTGGCAAAATGTTGGAGTTGATCCCAGATATCCCTTCCAGCTTTGATAGTCTAAGATATTTAAAGGGTCAAGGAGGTAGTGGGCCACTGAGACCCGATCCTCAGAGTTAGAGATGGAGCTGATTTGCCTAAATCAAGGCCTACTCGCCTGTGCCTCAGGACTGGTCATTTTCTTCCGCGTCACGCAAAAGAAACAAAAGCTCAGCCCTGAGGCCATTTTTGGAGTGCTAATGGCTTCTTGGGGATGCTGAGGAGAGGGTTGCCCAGTAAACAAGACAGCCCAGCTTCCCAGAATCCTCCTTAGACATCAGACGTTGCTCCTTGTCCTCTGTGCTCTACTCCGGTCATCTCTGTGTCCGTCAGCTGGGTCCTCCGCCGTCTCCTTCTCCTGCGGTCTCTTCTTCTCCTCTCTGATTATTTTCCCTGCCATCCTAGCCTTTGTATTCTTGGTGCACGGGAGCTATCAGCAGCCATCTCTTAACAGAAAGCATGAGAGGAAAAGTTACCGGCGGCAGGGAAACTAGAAGCACAGGTCCTGGGCTGCGTGAATTCACGGTGCATTCCAGGTGGAGGTGGGTTTGCCACAAAGCTAGTTCCAGCCCCTGCTGTCGGCTCACGATTCCCATCCAATTGTGTTTCCACCATTCTGTGCCCTAAGAGGGCTGCTTAGATTGTATAAGCTCCAGGCCCCATGTAGCCTGGGTCTGCTCTGTCCCCAGTTCTGGCACAGTGCTGGTACGTAGCTGACCCCGAGAACCAGGAGTCTGATGAGTTTTGTAAGTGCCCCCTGTGTGCCAGGCACAGAATTAGACTTGGAGACACAGAAAGAGCCCCACAGCCCTCTCCAGTGGCCCACAGCCCAGTGGAGAGTCAGGGCTACCTTTAAATAATGCCAATCCAGTTGACTAAGTTGCACAATAGGGGCAGGTGTGGAGGCTGTGGGAGGCTGAGGAGGAGGAGGAGTCAGGGTAAAGTGCGTCCCCAATCATAGGGTCCCTTGATGGTTCTGCCACTAACTACTGAAGGAGCTACAGAGGCATCCTGTGTTGGTGAAACTGTGACAAAGGACTGGGCGTGGGCAAGGCAGAAATGCAGGAAAGAAGGAAATTGCAGGCTGGAGGTAGCACCCAAGCGAGGCAGTCCCCTTCTGTGGTCCTCGGTTTACCCCTGCGTGGCGTGGCTGGGTCTCGCTGTATTTGGGGAGGTCCCTCCTAGCGTGATGATGCTGCGAATCTGAAAGTAAGCTGAAGGGCCCCCGCATGGTGCATGAAAAGAGAGGAATTGAGGGCTCGGACGGAGGAAGCTGCTTGTTCATCCTCTGAGCATCCCAACTAAAACCTCCTTTCCTGCAGGAAGGGAAGAAGTGTTTGGCCGTGTACCAGCCGGAGGCGCCCGTGAACTTCACCCTCGCCGGCTGCGTCAGCACACGCTCCTACCGGCCCAAGTACTGTGGGGTCTGCTCGGACAACCGGTGTTGCATCCCCTACAAGTCCAAGACCATCGATGTCTCCTTCCAGTGTCCGGATGGGCCTGGCTTCTCCCGCCAGGTCCTGTGGATCAACGCTTGCTTCTGCAACCTGAGCTGTAGGAATCCCAATGATATCTTTGCGGACTTGGAATCCTACCCTGACTTCTCAGAAATTGCCAATTAGGCAAGCACGAAACATGGGCCCTGGGGCCTGGCCCAATGCTTGCAAAGCAGCCAGCCCTTTGAGGCCCACGGGTGAGCCTTCTTTTGTCCCCTTCCCTCTCATTTCTAACTACTCTGATCCAGACCCTTGGCGCCTGTCCTGTCTCTGACCACCCCAGTGACCCATTATGGTGCTGCTCGAGCCCAGGCCGTGGGTCCCTTCCTTGCCAGCATTCTGCACCCATGCCAAAGAAAGTGCCTGTCACCAGCTGTTCTGGACAATACCCAAGCTTGACCCAGCCTGTCCAAGCCACTGGAAGTCCTGCTGGATCTTGCACGAGTCCCAAAGAACAGAATCAGCTAGACATTTGGTGTCACTCATTCTCTCTTTAGATACCAAACCACAGGACTCTTTGGGTCCATCAGAAGCGTAGACGGGATTTAGGGATTTAGGACCATGGAACAGTGTATTGGTGGGGCCCTGCCAGGTGGCACTCTTAACAGACAGCCTGACCGCAGTACATCATGTATCTCTGATTCCAAAGATTCATGCATCCCAAGGTCACCAAACATGTGCCAAGTAGGCGAATGACGGTTTGGTTTTGTTTTTTAGTGGAAAATTGTATCCGTTAATCTGAGCATTGTCGAGGTTAAGTCTCTCTTTGCCTCTGCCCTGTGGAAAGTGCGAATTGAGTGCATCCCAGTCAGAGATGCGATTTGATAAACTTTATTCTTGTTTCTGGGGAAAGTCCCCAGTTGCTACTCCGGGGTCAGAGCAAGGCCAGCCAATTTGCAGAAGGAGCAATGGACCTACCAGCGAATCTGCTGCTGACAGACAGGGCTTTGGGCGGTTGGCCGGGCTCTTCCTTGCATCCAGATCCTCTGCCTGCCTGGGGGTTCATGGGACTTGATGGAGCCCCTAGGGCGGCCTCTCTGACCCGTGAAAGTGGTGTCCTGGGATATTCCCCTGGTCTCAAGGAGCGTTGGGGGATGCAGCAGAAGCCCAGGCCGGCCCCACCTGCAATGACCAAGACAGCTCCAGGCTGGGCGTGGGACAAAGAAGCAGGTCCACTCTGCATGAGCCTGAGGTCGCAAGGGTGAATGAGCCCAGGTCACATCTCTTTCTGCCACAGTGACCCATTTCACAGACTTTGGGTCTCCTGACCCAAATAACCCAGTTCTGGTATGAAGACAGAGGTTTACCAGTTGTCTAGGAATATACTTAACAGGGATTAAAAGCCAAAAGGGGTTGAAGCTAAAAGGGAGAGAAGGTTGTTCCTAATGGAAATGAGGCTATTATTTATTTTGTTAGTAAAGTATAAATATTTACTGTTATAATTCTTTTATTTAGTACCTCCTCTGTGCCGGACATTGTTCTTAGTGCTTTCCATACACTAGCTCATGGAGACTTCGCTTCATGTTGAAAGGTCCCCGTTATTGTTTCTGTCCTTACAAATGTGAAATGGAAGCTCAGAGAGGTCAAGTGGTGGCCCCAGTCACCCAGCTGGTAAGCGGGGAGTCAGGATTCAAATCCAGGTTGGACTGACTTTATAACCCATTATTTTTTCCTTACTTTTAGAGCTTCCAAATGTGTCAAAGCAGAAAAACATGTCAGAATAAGGGACTTTTTGCTCTCTCTCTTCACTCTTATTACTGTCTCTCTAGTTCCTTTCCCAAGAGAAAAAGAGCATCTGACTTTCAGATAATTTAAGTGCCTGAGCATCCAAAGAATATGGGATGGACAAAAATCCAGGAATACCCTATAGATTGTCCCTTCCTTCAAGTCAGAACCAGCTTGAGCCAGCCCTGATAGTCTAGCGGTTAAAGTTCCGTCCGCTCCCCTTGAGCGGCCTGGGTTTGGTTCCCGGTTGTGGAACCACACCACTCATCTTTCAGTAGCCATGCTGTGACAGTGGGTCAAAAAGAAGAACTAGAAGGACTTACAACTATACACAACTATGTAGTGGGGCTTTGGGGAGGAAAAAAGGAGCAAGACTGGCAATAGATGTTAAATTAGGGCAAATCTTCCCCTACAAGGAAAAAAAGTCAAACCAGCTCCCCTCACATATTTAAAAGATGCTTTTGTTTACCCAATGGTGCATATTAAATGATGCAGTAATTCATGAGGGAATCCTGCGTGGTGTGCAGAGGGATTCCTAAACAGGAAGAAAGCATTGGGAGTTGGGAGCATCGGGAGTGTCCCCCTTACTGTGAACTCCCGATGCCTAGCCCAGTGCAAAGCATGCAGTGGTGCTCAGTATGTATTTAATGAATAAAAGAAATTTTGTATGTGTTCCTACTTTTATTCAGTAGCTCTCTTCTTCCAAAGGTACGAGACAGTCTAATTTTTACCAGCCAAATTTTATTTGAAGTGCCGTAGGAAAAGAGACACTTCACATTTAAAGAAACGTATATTTTTTATTGGAAAAAAAAAAGAATTTTTGTGTGAAGAGAATTTACCCCGTGAGTAATCCTTTCTAGAAGTCTGTGTGGATTGTGTTGGATTTTCTTGGAGTGAAATCACCTGCCATCTTCAGATTACAATGACCAGATGACAGCTGACCCCTTTTGAAATTCAGCAGCAACCCGAGAGCTAGGTTCTTACTGAATTTGCATCCCAATTCGGGAAACTGAGCATAGCTTCCAAGATCCTAGGAAGCCTGGCTGGAGGAACTGGGGGTTATCCAGGGAATGCATGGGATGGGGTGGCCGGAGTGCCCCCGTGATTATGTGCTTTGAGAAATGGACCCGTCTCAGGCAGGCCCTGGAGGGATGGTCTCAGCTCCATGATTTGAAGTCGTGGGGGAGGCAGTTTGGGCGCAGTGAGAGGAAGCTCTTTCCAGCACGCTGCAGTGGTGTGACCTGCTTCAAGGAAAGTGCAGAAGAAGAATCACCATGAGAAAAGTCTGTCTGTGGAGTGCGTATTTGGTGCCAAGCACCATGCTAAGTTTTAAATTATCTTACCACTTATCACAGCAATTTTGAGGAAGCGTCTCTTCCCCATTTTATAAATGGAATGTCTGAGACTCAAAGAGGCTGAAAAATCAGCCAAAAAAGTTGGAGCCCGAAGCCCAGCTTATTCCACTCTGCCTTGCCCTTGGGGAGGCCTCCAGGCAGAGCCTCGATGACCTCTGCTGGATGTCTCATCGACGAGAGGGACCAACTAGATCAGATAGATGCCTCTCCAGCCGCTTGTCCCTCCATGTTCTGGGATGAGGGGAAGGTGCACTGACCTTCGGTGGAGAAATTCACATCAGTGCCTGGAGTGGATTTCTCTGGCGTGCTTAGGTGTGGGGACCTGAACTCATCAAAGCACTGGTTCCTGCTCAGCCTTCTCACCAGCATTTGAGGAGCGCTCCCCAGGCCTCGGGCTGCGTGCTTTACACCACGTCTTCTTTAATCCTCATGGCAAACCTAGGAGATATGGCAATGTGATCACTTCCCCGTCTAAGAAAGGAGTCCTTTGAGGCTCCCAGAGGTTATTTGCTCAATGTCTTACCAGCTGTTGGACTGCAGACCAGGATCTCAAACCGAAGTTCTTCTGACACCTGAGCCAGCTCCCCCGACGTGAAGCCGGGTTAGCCTAACCCCCAAAATCAGAAGGTACAAGAGATGCTTTGCTGACCAGAGCTGCAATGTTAACTTTGAAAGTGATTTGGAGAATGATCAAAGAAACAAGCTCCAAGGGGTACGACTGTCTCTAATCTCATTAACATCGTGCTGTGTATACATAGAGGTGGTGGGAAAGCAACACAGCCCGTGACTATTGTGTTAAATGAGGTCACTGCTTTCTTAAGGACTTATCTTGATGCAGAGTAGCTGCAATGATGACCCTGCGCGGCTGGGAATCATGGATGGTCCGAACGGTCAGCTGTGTATCTGCACATATGCATACGTGTCTGTGTCTATATCTGTATGGATATATCTCTTTTCAAACTGTGGCTTAATATTTGTCTTCCTACTGCCATTTTTGTAACTGAAAAATACACATGAAGAAATGTCTTGGAATTTCCCAATAGAGGAGGAAGAGCACTTGGGCAATCTGTCTTGTTTTACCACATTCCTCATTTTTCTTGTGATTTGGGTAGTGTGGAACGTGTTTGCTCAATGTGAACGGTTCTCATTGCTCAAATTCCCTGTTTATAGCTTTTCTCCTTAAAGCAATAAATCATCAGCAAAGTGATTTACTGGATTTGGTGGGGTTTCCTGTATATTCAGTTATTGTGAGGACATTCAATAAATGTGCAGATGGTGGAAATTAGATATCAGTTGGTTGTTTTTTTGGTTTTTTTTTTTGCTGAGGAAGACTGGCCCTAAGCTAACATTCTTGCCCATCTTCCTCTACTTTATATGTGGGATGCCTGCCACAGCATGGCTTGACAAGCAGTGTGTAGGTCTGCACCCAGGGTCTGAACCAGCAAGCCCCAGACGGCTGAAGCAGAGCACGCAAACTTAACTGCTACGCCACCAGGCCAGTCCCTAGATACTTTAAATATGGTAATAAAAATAACTAAAATTTGGAGATGCACTTAGAAATATGAATTCTGGCCTTCAGAAAAGACCAGGGCTACAAATATGTCCAGGCTGGAAGACACCTCATATAAATATAAAATGAAAATTTTAGCATTCACTGATTTATTCACTCACTCGTTCCTTTATTCAGCGTCTTTGTCTATCCCCAACTAGACTGCGGGGACCCTGAAGTCAAGGACCATGACTGCACCCTCTGAGCCCAGCACAGTGCCTGGCACGTGTCAGGGGCTGGGTAAGCAGGGGTGGGTGGATAGAGAATGGATGCATAGAGAATCTTCTGCCGCTGCCTTAGGAGCCAAGGGGAGTACAAAGAAGTGTAGGAAAGTTGCATGATGCAATGGAAATGGTTCTGACTTTGGGAGTCAAGTGGCTCTTCATATCCTTCCTTCTTTACTGGAATTCCTCGCTTCACCCATCCGAGCCTCAGTTACCTCAGCTGTGAAATGTAGAAAATGAAAGGAGACACTGCCTTGTGGTGGTGAAGTAATAATTAGATGCCTGTTGCATGCAGAGTTTTAGAATGCAGCTTGGCACATGGTAAGCACTTAAACATACCTATTGTTAGCTGCACCTCAGTTTCCCCATGAACTGGGGCTAATCAGCAAGATTATAGGAAGAACCGGCGTCCGTGTCTGTGTCTGTATATTCTACTTATTTAGCCTTTATTTCAAAATAGCAAATATACAGAAAAAGCGTCACCAGTCTTCAGTGGAATGCTTTTTTACTTTAATCATAGGCTACTTGATCCCTTAAGTTTTTTATTTTTATGTTTTCACTTTATGCTATAATTTGATTAAACGCCCAGCTTCTTTAAGGTGGGAAGGATGTCACACTTTTCTGTGTCTCCCAGACCCAGCGCAGTACACGGCACGTGCCCAGCTGTGTGGACAGATGTGCCGATGGCCGCGTAACTGAAGGGAATGGCACATTCGATGCCTTCTGGCCAGAATTCCCTCACCTATGGCCCCCAAAACACAGGATGCTGTTAGAATAAGGTCAAGGGGAGAATCCGTTCCAATAAAAACGTAACTGCCGCAGGAACTGTTTCCAAGAGCACTTCTATCCTGAAGCATACCTTTTCCAAAACTGGAAGTTCCATCATGGAGCCTTACAGATGCCTCTGATTCAGAGAAATGTGTGGCCTTTGGGAGAAATTTCTGATGATACCAGGTGGTTGAAGTTTTGGGAAAATGGGATTCAGGGCAATGGCCAGAGCATTTTATTATGAAGGTAAAAAAGCACATAGTAGAGATGCCCAACATGTTGTCTTTTGTCCCCACTAATGAAATAAAAATGTAAAAGTATCCTTTGTATTCAGAGGTCCAAGTTGCAGCTGAACCTGGGTTTATTTTCAAAAAATAGAACTAAGCAAAAATGACTTCTAAAGAGATGAAAGAGCTGGCACCAAGCCCCCTACAGTTTCCTATAAAGTAATGCACCACACAGCCACGTTTCAGTAAATGATGGACGGCATACAGGATGGCGGTCCCATGGTCCCATAAGATTAGCCCCATACAACCTAGGTGCATAGTGGACTGCAACATCTAGGTTTGTGTAAGACACTCTGATGTTTGCACAACAACGAAATCGCCTAATGATGCATTTCAGATAACGACATACCCCTGTCGTTAAACGACACATGACTATATTATATTCTGTCGAGAATGTTTCCAGCTCTCTGTACTAAACTTGACTGCTCTTGTTTCTCTCACGATACTAACAGAGTGGATTTCTTAGTCCATGAAAAGGGGAAGGAAGCTACTAGAAGCAGACTCATGGATAGCAATGTGAAATTTTCAGCCTGCCAGCAAAGGAGGAAACAGAGGGATTAAGAACTAGATGGAAGATATGGTAAAAGCAGGTCATGGAGTCTGGGTGGGACTGTTTCATGGAAGGACAGACATCCCCGCAGACAGTAAAAGCCTGCAGGTCATCCACAGTGATATTCTGCCATCCCAAGGCATCGGTAGGTGGTTGCATTAGTCATGTCCTCAGGGAACCGCTTTAAAAGGCAGTGAGGGATGTAATCCATTTTAGAAATGGCTGGACAAGCCATTTAATCTTCCTGAACCTTGGCTTTGTTATCTGTGAAACAAGGAAAACTCATCTTCTCAGATAAAGAATTAAACAGACAAAGAAACTATAATACACGCTAAACATTACTATGAGCAGAGGGGGTGTTCATCTATTTATTTACCCCAAACCTCCTGGTATATGTTGGGCAATTCTGCTGGCCCCAGAGATACAAAAGAAATGCTAGTGTCGAGGGAAAAGGACACCTAAGGGGATGTGTGAGCTAGAAATGCTGCATGTACAACAGAGGCCCTCTCTGCAGGGGGCCACTGTCACTTCATCAGAGCTTCCTGGGTAGGGCGGGGCATTCAGAAAACACTTCTCGGAGCAGGCAGGAGGAAGGGCCTGCTTTGAACAGTGAGTTTGGCTGTTCATTGATTTAATCGTGCCAAGGACCTGGCAATCCACCTGCCACAACTACAGCAACTACTAGGAGCCCCTGCTGCGTGAACCTGCTCATGATCGTTTGGCCAGTAAGTGGACGCCTGAGTCAAGCTGGGCCAATTAGATTCTTCCCCTTAAGAGGCCCAAAGACCTGATTGGTTCCAGGTCCGAGAACTGGAAGGTCCCGTAGCCCTTGTGTTAGGACAGATATTTGATGCTTTGGAGACACAAGGAAATCTGATTTTAGGAAGGAGGCTGGGGGCTGGCCCCGTGGCGCAGTGGTTAAGTTTGACACACTCCACTTCGGCGGCCTGGGTTTAGTCCCTGGACATGGACCTACACCACTCCTCAGCCGTGCTGTGGCCGCGACCCGCGTATAAAATAGAGGAAGAGGAAGATGGGCACAGATGTTAGCTCAGGGCAAATCTCCCTGGGCCAGGGGGGAGGAGGCTGATCTGCTCACTGGGCCCCCTCCTTAATCCCATCTCCAACCCCATAAGCCCAGGCTTCACCGTCTGCCCTTGGATTCCATATGGGACACAGTTGAAGGGCTTCTATGCAGCCTGAGAAGCCCAAGGTAAATAGGTAACCAGATGGCTTTAGGCTACATCTAGGGACCAATCCTATGACTAGCAGTGAGGCTGCGTCTGGGAAGGGGCGGCGAGGAAGGTGGCAGATGGAGGTCTCGGCTGTCCCTACGGATCCTGCACGGGGTTCATGTCAGTGCACACTTAGTCTCTCAGCTGCTGCTGAAACCCTAGGGTGTGGGACTCGAAACCAAAACAAGCAGCTAGAAGAACAGAAATAGATCCTCAGCTGGCAAAACAGCCTCCAGGCGTACCATCTCGAAATAGCATCCGATACATGCAAACACCTGTAACATTCCCTCGGTGGAAGCCTGAGCTCCAGGGAGCTGACGGTGGCCGGTCCAGGGGTCTCTGTGCCACCCCTCACCCCAAAGCTGACGGATGCACCCACTGGTGATTACCTGCTGGCTCTTCCGTTTCTACGTCCCCAACTCTCGACTCTCACACGAGACCTGACACAGAAAACGCACTTACTGTGAATGTCAAATAAATATGAGCCCACACACTCCTCCTCCTGCACCTAAAACAGGGCTTCTTAACGTGGGGTCCTCAGACCAGGGACCCACGGATAAAATTCAGGGGCCGTGTACTTGGATAGAGAAAAAAACGCAGCTTTGTTTTTACTAACATCTAATTGCAATTAAGCATTTCCTTCTATCTAAATGTAAGCCACAAACCCTAATTTGTCACCATTGAAATCACATATTTCTTATCACACTTGTGGCAGGTGTCCAAAATATTGTGCTCGTCACTGCTTTGAAATTATGTTGAAACCTGCCTCCATGTTACTATTTAACTTATTAATTGATAAAGAAGTACATGTCACTATATCACACAATTGTAACATCTGGATAATTATACTTTACTATAAGTGGCTTCTTTTATAATCATATGCATTTTATTTTATGCATTGAAAACTCTTCCTGCGATGCACAGCACACACCACCCTCTACCTGGGTCTATACTGCAGGTTCCTCACTAGGGGCACACCTTCCACCCTCTGTGTTGGTGTCCGTGCTGGCCCCTCCCCTAGGAAGTCCCTCTCACCCTTCTGAGCTGAGTCAGCTGCTCCTGGCTATTCCAAATCTGTCTCGGAAACAGCAGGGCCTGTGGACTAAAGCACGTCCCCTCACTGCACGATGATGCAAACTTCAAAAGTGTTCCAGCTAATTACACACGCTAAGAGACACCTCAAGGTAAGTGAATAAAAACCAATATAAATCACAGCATGATAGCTGTTTAAAAGGGGGAGGGAGGGGCTGGCGTGTGGACTGCGTTTAGGGACCTGCTTCCCAGGAACAAGTAGGGAAAAGCAGCAGTAACTGGGCAGTGGAGAGACCGGGCAGACCCCACCTCTGCCAGGAGATCAAGGTTAACCTCATCGGCGACAAATCATGTTGACCTGTCACGCTGATAGCGTGATGTGACGAGAATGGCATTTCCCCTCTGTGGTCTGCATTCCCAAAACCCATAACCCGCATTGAGCCAGGAGAAAAACACACAAACGTCAACGGAGGGACATTCTACAAAATGCCTGACTGGTGCTCCTCAAAACTGTCAAGGTCATCAAAAGTGAGGAGTCTTGAGGAACCGTCACAGGCCAGAGAAAGTTAAGGAGCAGGATGACCAGTGTAATGTGGTATCCTGGGTGCATCCTGGGACAGAAAAAGGACAACAGGGACACACTAATGAAATCCCAATAACGTATTAAGCTTTGTTAATAGATCAGGGTTGATTTCTTCGTTGTGACCAAGGTGCCACAGCCACATAAGATGTTACTATTAATAGGGGAACCTGGGTGTGGGGTATATGGGAACTCTCTGCACTCAATTTGTGACTGTTCTGTAAATTTTAAACTAATATTAAATAAAAAGTTTAAATGAAAGTGGGAGGTTATACTAAAACCTGTTGTGTTTCTAATTTTTTTTTAAGTGCCATAGAAACAAGCATTACAGTGGCTGTCATTGGGTGTGAGAAAAGGAGTGGTAAAATGTAAAATAATGTCTCCCTCCACTTATAGCCTGAAAGCTTTAGCCCCTTACCACTGCGCTGTCCAGGCTATTGAGCACTTGAAACGGGGCTGGTTTGAATTGCGATGTGCTGTGATGTGAAATAGCTCACTAATTGTTATATTGATTCTGTGTTGGAATAGTGATATTTTGGATATGCTGGGTTAAATGAAATATATTAAAATTAATTTCACGTGTTTCTTCCGACCTTTTCAAATGTGGCTACTAGAAAATTTAAAGTTACATCTGTGGCTCACATTCTATTTTTATTGGAAGTGCTGCTCGACAGCAAAGAAGTGCAATGGCAAGGGGCAATGTGGCAGGAGGCCCTGGTAAGGACAGCCCTTCCCCATGTTGTGATGCTGCACGCACCCTCTCTCGGCAGAGGAAAAAGACACAAGCCACTGCAAAGTTACAAATTTATTGGTCTGGAAATAAATACAAATATTTCATTAAGAAAATCTTCTGGAAAGACTTGTACACAACAGTTTCTTGTCTCAATTCAGCCGCTCCTGCCCTGACCCCTGACCTTTCTGCAGAAGCCAGGGAAAGTCTCCCAGGTGGTACGTGGCAGGTAAACCGAGTCATTGCCCCTCAAGCCTCCTAGAAGGCTTGACTACTTCCTTCTACCCACTTAAGGGTCCCGAAATCACCAGGCCCTAGCGGCTGATTCACAATGTTCCATGCGCTCTGATCAAACTTCCTATAAGATCCTTGGTTAGCCAAAATGAAAATCAAAAGGCAGTAGGACAGGAACTTGGCAGCTACGCCCACATTGCCCAGGAATGTCAGTGGTGCCGCCCCATTCAGCAAAAGGAGGTTAGAGGGGCAGGGAAGAGGGTGAGGCGGGAGAGGGAAGGAAATGCCACGGAACAGACATTCCAGAATCCTTGCGTCTTCTCAGCCACCACTCCCCACGTGAATCCCACCCCTGCAAGAGCCAACAGGTCGAGCTGAAAATCCAGGAATGTTCCCAGGGCAGAAACGTTCAGCCGTCAAGTTCAGATTCAACCCCGGGTGTCCAAGATTGGAAGGTGGATTTAACTCAAGCACACAAGATTCTTGGTAACCGGGGTGGGATCAACTGAAATCAGAACCGCACCAGATGCCATCACGACCACAGGAATCCCATACATCTAGGAACCCAGAGACCACCCCCACCCAACACCCCTGCCCCCCCGCTGCGTGGAGCCCCATCACAGCCAGGTACAGTTGTTTGAATGTTTCCCTCCACTTCCAAGAAAGCAACTATGGATCTAAATGATCTTCCCCATGAATGAAATACCCACTCGCTCATTTTTGGGGTGGGAAGCAGGGGCTGTGGAGAAGGAGGCAGATAGGAGAGCCAAAGTCTTCAATCCATGACACCAAATGTTTGCTGAGACCCTTTCTCTGCAAAGCCAAGAGACGCTGGATTTCGTTGTGCATTGAAAGGGTGCCGGGAAAACAGGCCTGTACGCCTCGGCATTAAGGGTGTATATATGCACGAAATTTAAACATCGATTTCATCAAGTTAACGACCTGGATTTGCCTTTCCGAATGCTTCCAGCCTGCACATGTATTCCACCTTTTTCCCCTGCTTCCTGTTTGGCCTAGTTAAAAGAGCTACCCTGCTCACCCCCTCCCCGAGCCAGAAAAGGGTTTTGTTTCCAGAAACTACACCAGTTTTTCTTTAGCTGGAGAGGAAACCGGAAGTCGGTGGGCGGGGCTTCGGAGCAAACGCCCCTCAGAAGCAGGATGCTCGGGTTAGTCTAGGCTTGGACTTAGGAAGTGTTTACGGCTATGTTTCTCGTTTTTGGTAATTTGGCGTCTCCCAGGGAGGGTAAGAGAGTGGTCACCAGGCCACTCCTTTAATGAAAACAGGACACTGAGATGCTTTTCCCTGGGTCCACCCCACCCCGCCCCCGTCAGAAAGGGCGGCCTCGACAAACCCAATCTCACTTTGTCATCACCAGAGCTCACTCTTAGAAAATAAGCCTTGGATTAATACCGAGTTACTGCGGTGCGGCAGGCAGGGGGCGGGAAGGGGCTGGAGGAGGGGGCAGCTACAGCGATCCCGACCCCAGAGTCCAGAGGGCGGCCGTGCGCACCGGCCGCCTAGCAGGACACCTCCATGGACTTGGGCCCCGCGTTGTTCCCGGTGGCACCGGAGTTGGGGGTGATGTCGAGGCGAGTGCCCTCGCTGGTGTGGGAGCGGCTGCGGGTCCCCTCGCTGGTGTGGGAGCGGCTGCGGGCGCCTTCCAGGGATGTGACGCTGGAGCCCGAGGCCGTGCGGGAGCGCATCAGGCGGGTCATGCTGGCGGAGGGCACTGGGGAGAGAGGAGAGAGCCTGGTTAGGGGACGGGAGAACCCCTAGGGCCACGTGCATGCTAGCAATGGCGCCTCCTCCTGCCCAACCTGGCCGAGCTCCTTTGTGCACTGTCCATCCTCTCAGCAATCCAGCTGCTGGGCTTGCTGTGTCTATCAGCTCACAGGGGTGGAGAGCCAGGCTCAGATGGGGTAAGGACTTCCCGCAGTCACACGGTGGCTTGAACCCAGAGCTGGGTCTGAATCCCAATTCTTCCATGTGCTTAAGAGCTATGTGATTTTGGGATTACCCCATTCTGAGCGCCGGGTCCCAACTGTAAAATGGGAATTCTACTACTGACTCCCTAGTCTGTGCCCGTGTGTATGCCCACCCCCCCGTCAACAATTGCTGGAGCAGGGAGGGCAGTCAAGATCAGCCGGGCTAATCCCTGCTCGACACAGGTGGGGAAACTGAGACCACACAGCAAGTTTGCAGCAGAGCTGTCAGTTGTCTCTTCCCTTGAGAAGCCCGTGAGCTCCCAGGAACTGTCAAGGGCACTGTCCACTCTTTGGGACTTAAAATGCACATGGCAGGTGGCTGATAAAGTGGAATGAAGACAAAACCATCCCCTCACCTGTACCGGGTTGATTAGTGCTCCCCCCCCCCAAATTCATGTCCACCTGAACCTCAGAACGTAGCCTTATTTGGAAATAGAGTTTTTGCAGATATATTTCATTAAGCTGAGGTCATACTGGATTGGAGTGAGGTCGAATGCAATGGCTCGTGTCCATGTAAGAAGAGGAGACAGAGACAGACACACAGACACTGTGAAGACAGAGGCAGAGAGATCAGAGTGATGCAGCTACAAGCCAAGGAGCACCAAGGACTGCCAGTGGCCCCCAGAAGCTGGAAGAGGCAAGGAAGGATGCGTCCAAGAACCTCGGAGGGAGCATGGCCCTGCGCAGACCTTGACCTTGGATTTCTAGCCTTGAGAACTGTAGTACTGTGAGAGGATAAACTTTGGCTGTTTGAAGCCATCCAGTGATTAACCAGGGGATTAACGGCAGAAACTAAGATGCCACCTAACTGAAGCATCATTGCCAAGGCCACATGGAATGACGGGCACCACAGACGCAAGCACCTGATGCACACACATGTAGGTGGGGCTTACATTACTCGCTCGTCGGCCATATGCATTGGCTTTCTGTGGCAGACACCCACAAACAGAATTAATCCTTGCTGGGATAGAATTTTCTTCTCAAAGAGCTAGTTTCTGAATCCAGAAAGAATCGGGATCAATCCCACATCTATCGCTCCCGTACAGCCACGTGCCGCTTAATGATGGGAATACATTCTAAGAAATGCGTTGTTAGGCGATTTCGTCGTTGTGCGAACGTCATATAGAGTGCGCTTACAAAAACCTAGATGGTGTAGCCTACTACACCTAGGCTCTTGGTACTAATCTTAGGGGACCACCATCGTATGTGTGGTCCGTCATTGACCGAAATGTTGTTATGCAGTGCATAACTGCATTTTCTCTGAGCCCCTATTTCTCGACCCCAAATCTGCAAGTTTTACTGACCTCGAGGGCTCTGGTGACTATAGAACGGTGTCATGGATGCAAATGGCTAGTCACACCTGGCCCAGCATCCGAGGAGGCCCTCAAGTGATCACTTCCCTTCTCTTTGGCTGATGCCTCTGGACTATAGCTCTTCCTGCTGTCTTCCCTCATAACCTGCAGGATGCTTCGGCTTTCTGGGAGTAGAAGCTGGTGTGTGTGTGCGTGTAGGGGAGCGACAAGGTCTGTGCTTTGCTTCCTTTCTCCCCAGAATACACTTTCCAAGCAGAAATCCAAACCCAGGGCACATCCAAGACAAATGAGTCCTGGGTCACGCCCTGCAAGGTAAACAGAGGCTGCCCAGCAGCTCTCTCCAGTTACGCCTTCGCTGGCACGTCGCCCACGGGGAAAGCACGCCCAAGGGCAGGAGACCCACAGGCAGATGTTTTCTGCTGGAAGAGGGCACCTTGGGACAAGGATCCTGCCCGAAGCATGTAAGTCGGGTTCCCCTGCTCTCAGCCTCGCTAGAAACTAAACATAGCTGAGGCCAAGCTTAAGACTGCGGTCAGTTCACCAAACATAACATTACTATTTTAAATGAGCCAACAGTTTAAGTCTCAGAAAAAAAACGGAAGAGACTAGCCGTTCAGACTTCCTAGTTAAGATGCGCACATAAATTGGAATTCCGAGCGGTAGGCAGGAAGAGCCAAAAGAGCCACATCACGGCCAGCACCACGGCCGTACAGGGATGAGCACCAACCGTGGCCGCTGCCCGACAGAGGGCTGCACCTTGGCACTGTCTGTCCTGGCCCTGGGGCCGCATTCCTGAAAAAGCGCTGTATGTGTCTAACAATATACCATCACCACAGCACAAGAAGCTGCACGTTCTTGAATTACACTTCTCTTTGTCCTTCCACTCCCAAATTTAATGATTTAGCAAAGAAATGCTCTGTCTTGAATATAAGCGACTTTGTCACCCACTTACTCAGAGCTTTACAGTCCGAACTTTCATTGATCCCCACTCTGCTCTTTGCTTAATCTGTCAAAGCCTCAGTTTCATCGGTTGTAAAATGGGGATAAGAATTATCTCATAGGATTATTGTGATGGCTAAATAAGAAAAATAAAGGATTTACTAATCTTTCATCATTATCACCACCATCATCACTATCTTCAGCATTATCATCATCACCACCACTGTCATCATCACCATCATAATCACCACCACCACCACAATAACTACCACCACCATCATCATCATCACTATCTTCAGCATCATCAGCATCACCACCACCATCATCATTATTATGACTACAATCGGAAATCTCTTAAGAAAGCATGTATTCAAAATTAAAAACATTTTCATGGTTTCACTGTTGTCTTGGTGCTTAAATGGATAGTCTTCACCTAACCCTAAAAACCTTCCCTGGTGTGAAACAACTTCTGTTCAACCACAGAGGGAGAATCAGCCACCAAGGGATAAAGGAGAGACTAGAACCCTTGGTGCAGTGCCGCCCACTGCCTCTGCACCTCAATATTTCTTCCCCTGACCCACCCAGTTTGCAAAAGGCTGCAGCTGGACAAGGTGATACAGAATATTCATTCAAACCTGGCTCAGGGCACCACATCTCCCATTCCCACACCTGCCCCTCAACCCACTGCCTGCTGGGAAACGCCATACTTACTGTATCCCATGCCCTGCACGAAGTACTTGAAGGCCTCGGCAAGCTTGGCTGGCTGCAGGAGGAAAGAAGGGAGAGCGCAGTCAGTCACTGGAGGTGGCCACATGGAGCTGTGCCTTTGGTCACCTTCATGAAAGACCATGGCCCAACATAGAAGGCCACCATGTTGATAGGACAATACACAAAGGTAAAGGGAACACTATGGGATAGTCATGGGGACCAAAATTAGCTTTGACTAGTGAGGAAAAATTCAAGTTGACTTCACAGCTGGGGGAGCTTCGTCAAGTTATATGACGTGTCTGAGCCAGTTTCTCCACCTGTAAAATATGGGCAGAGTGCCACACCCACATCTGAGGGTTTCTTTGAAGAAGATGACATTTGATAAAGCGATGTGCCCAACTCAGCATCTAGAATGTAACAGCATCAGCATCATGTGCATTCTTTGTGCCAAGGGCTGTGCGGCATTATCTCGTTTTCTCCGGACAACAACCTCATGAGGTTGGTACCATTTTCATATACATCTCATAGCTGAACAGACTTGGAGAGGTAAACAATCCATCCAACGTCCTATAGTTACTTAGTGGTGTGTCTTGAAGATCAACCCAGGGCTTTCTAAACCCCATGCTCTCAAGGCAGTGCCCTCTCGGCCTCAGTAGCAGGCTGGCTGGATGGATGGATGGACGGATGGAAGAAAGGATGGTAGATAGATAGATAAAAAGGAAAGAAGATGGATGGATGGATGGAAAGAAGGAAGAAAGGAAGGAAGGATAGAAGGAAGGAAGACAGAAAGATAAAAAGGAAAAAAGATGAATGGATAGATGAATGGAAAGAAGGAAGGAGGATGGATAGATTGAGTGAAAAGAAGGATGGATGCACAGAAAGAAGGAAAGATGAATGGATGAAGGAAAAAAATGGAAAGAAGGAAAGATGGATGAATGGATGGACTGTTGCACAAACTAATTGATCAATTAACTGAGCTACTTGATGTGAAATGAGTTGAGAATGCTGAGAACACACCCAGTTCTGCCAATTACTCTCAAAATTTTAATTTAATCTAAAGTAGGAGCTGAATGCTCAACTAAAGGCCATATTCACAGTCTAATTGCCTCCAGCTCTCAAATGCAATGCCCTGGGTCTGTTCTGAGAAGTCATCAGCGGAGGCCGTGTTCCCACCCACCTCCACCAACTCCTGACACTATTCCACAAGGAGCTAAATGACATTTAAAGGAGGGGCTGTGCTCAAATTGCCCTCTGGGGTTTGGGTGACAATGGTAAGAAAGTGACAAGAGTTGCAGGTTGGGGCTGCAGAGAGCCAAGGACTCCTGTGTTCAAGAAGGCGAACAGAAATAAGAATGCGGACTTAGGAACGAGAATACCTGGGCCCAAATTTGGCTCCCCTGCGTGACCACGGGCAATCTCTCCCATCTTTTAACCTCACTTCCCTCATTCTCTTCCTCGTTCTCTTCCTATCTCTAAGGACTGTTGCAAGGATCAAATGGAATGAAGGGTGGGAACGCCGTTTGTAAACATGCGCCCAACTTGCCAGGGCAGAAGGATGAGGGATGACACAGTACTTGGTCCTCCTTGGGCTGGTCACCTGGAAGCCTGGGCTAGGTCAGCTCCTGCCATGATATTTACAATGTGTTTTCATTCTGGCCAGGGCTAGATCTGTTTTCATTTCAACCAGAGAAAGGAAGAAAGGAAGGGAGAGAGAAAGAGTGTGGAGAGGGAGAGATGGAAGGAAAAATGGCACCTCTTCTCTCCAGCCAACTTAAGGCCCTGGGTGGCACTGTCCTAGCAGGAGACTCAGGAGCAAGCTGGACTGAGAACCAGCTCCCCCCTAATGTGCAGGTATTAACCCACACTTACGTCTAAGCAGGGCTCTGTTGGGAGCCCATCTGTTCCTTCTGGCAGCTGGGACATCCCACCCTTCTCTGGCTACTTCCAGCTATCAAATGGGCACGACATAACAGCAGATAAAAAGCTGAAAATATTTTTTGTTCTTTTCTAGTGGGTGCAGAGGGAGACGCTGTGGAAACAGGTGCAGAGAAGCGAAGAGAGCCACCAAAGGCCACTTATGCTCATACTTCTAGACTAAAACACTGCAATGAGATGGGACCCAGAGCAATGAGCCAAGATCCAGCATCCGCCTGATACAGAAATCTGCTCCTGGGGCTGCCCCGTGGGCCCCTCGGCCTCTCCTTCAGACTCCCGGTGGAATACTTCACAGCCCCAAAGAGAAGACTGTTTTTCTGTTGGCACAGCTCCAGCTCTAAGAATTATATATGGCGCCCAGATGGACGTCTCTGCCATGGCCATGCACTGGGGCCGTGGGAGCCAAGACTCACCCTTTTCTGTCCCACAACCCTCGAAATGGGCGGGCCCACATGAAAACAATCAAGGAGCTGATTGCTTCCACACGGAGAGGCACCACATGGAATAGTGAAAACCCAGAAAGGACCTAAATGTCCAGCAATAGCGCATCAGGGAAAGAAATTATGGGATATCTGTACAATGGCGTTTTCTGCCATCATTAAAAATTAAGACACAGAACATTTTTTAACCAAATGGAGATATCCCTGAGATGTGAAATTATGTGGGCAGGTGAAAAACATACCTGCCACATGATCCCAATTTTGCTTAAAGTAAGACAAAAATGTATGAAACTATATCAGAAAGGAGACTAGAGGGAAATACTTTCAAGTTTGTAACAACAGTAATCTGAATTTGGGGCACTACAAACATGGTTTTTTAAATTATTATTTTATCCATCTGTATTTTAAAATTTCTTGATAAACATGTATTACTTTATAATAATTAGAAAAGCAGAAGCAATAAATATCAGTGATTAAAAAAAGAAAAACTTCCCAAAATATACACACACACTGCTTTTCATCTCCTCTCCGCCCCCTGCTCTGGGCCTGAGCTCCGGGAGCCCAGGGCTCCAGCAGAAGCCCGTGGTCTCTGAGGTCAGGTACACTGACCTTCTGGTCCATGTTGCCAGGCTGTGTCCCCTTGGCAAACCCCTTTACCCCTGTGAACGCCAGAATCATCTACTCTACAAAGGCTTCTGGGCGATCCCATAAATCCTCACATGCAAACACCTTTTATAAACAGTGAGAATCCACAAACTGTCATCAGATGTCATGGCCAGATGGGGGACAAGCAGGCAGGGAGAGAAAAGGTACTAACAGGTCTCAGAGGCACATGCCCCCCCACCTGGGGAGCCGCGACAGGTGGACTCACCTGGGAGATCTGCGGGAGGCCGCCACAATCCGCCATCTGGAAGAGAAGGGAAGCTGGTTAGTGCCGAACACCTGGGCGGAGGTGATCCTCGCTCTGTGAACCAGCTCCAAGTGGTGCCCACCCTCCGCTGCCCTGCCCTGCTGAGGGGGGACTGGGCATGTTATGGGCAGAGACACCCAAACCCCAGCCAGGAAGGCTGCTGTCATCACTATCCATCTCGGCACTGAACTATCTTCTTGGCGACCACTGCTTGTAGCTTATGACAAGCCAGGCACTGTGCTAGGCCCTGTAGATAATTCCTGTCTGTTCCACAAGAACCCTGGAAGGGACGAATGCACCATTTCAGAGGCAGAAACGGGCCGGAGTGCCTGAGGAACGTGCAAGTTTCCATCCAGGGCCTGTCTGACCAGAAAGCATTCACAGCACAGGGCTCTGGACATACATCCTCTTTAAAGACTCCCTCGGAAGGAAACTGCTAGATTCGAGACTTCGGGCCTGATTGGGGGTCTTCACTGGCCTCCCTTGATAAATGCTATAACTCCCAAAGTTCCCGTTCCATCCCATCGCTGCTTAAAGCCAGTCCGGGCATGTGTGAATATTTATCGAGGGCTCAGGCTTGGGGGCAGCAGGGTGAGGATGGGCCAGGATGGGCGAGAATGGCCTGGAGGGTGACAGGACTGGAAGGTGTGAGTGAGGGAGGGTGGGTGAGGCTGCGCCGTCCTACAGCCCCGAGTCTCAAAGCCAGATCCCGAAGGTGAGCCTCGCGGCCACGCTAACCCAGGACCACCGTCCGGACACCAGAAAGCAGTGGCAGGATGCTGGACTAATGCCAGGGGCCACACAGCAGGGCAGGGTGGGCAGTGGGGAGAGAGTGTCTGGAATCAGGCTGAAACAGGTTCTGATCCTGGATCTACCGTCAAACCAGCCACCAGATCCCAGACAGGTCACCTACCCTCTGTTGTGGGATGTCGGGTGAATTATGTCTCCCCCAAAAGATATACGCAAGTCCTAACCCCAAGGACCGGAAAATGTGATCATATTTGGAAATAGGGTCTTTGCAGATGGGATTAGGTGAAGATGAGGTCATACTGGATTAGGGTGGGCCCTAAATCCAGTGACTGATGTCCTTCAAACGAGAGGGAAATCTGGACGCAGAGACACACAGGGAGAAGGCTGTGTGACAATGGAGGCAGACTGGAGGGACGCGTCTGCCAGCCACAGAGCACCGAGGACTGCCAGCCAGCAGGGGAGGCTGGGAAGGGGCAAGGAAGAATGCTCCCTCGAGCTTCAGAGGGAGCTCGGCCCTGCCCACAGCTTGATTTCGGACGGCAGCCTCCAGAACAGCGAAAGAACGGGTTCCTGTGGCTCTCAGCCTCCCGGTTTGTGGAACTTTGTTCCACCTGAGGACACTGGTCCACCCTTCTCCAAGGCGCTTTCCTCGTCTTCCTAACAGCAGTGACGGGGCCATCCCCATCTGGGTCTGTATCTCTGTCCATCTTCTTCCCGGGACAGCAGCCTGGATGCTGCGGGAGTCCAGACACAGATGTGTTTGGACAATCTAGACAAAGGACGCTCACTTTGTCCCACTTTGCAAAAGCTAGCCAATTAGCAGCCCCCTCGGGCCCGAAGCCCAGCATCTTCCAGTCTCGCAATTTCCTTTTGAGGGAATCTTGAAAGAAAATGTAAGGGAAGAACAAATTATAGGGACCAGCCCCCCCAGGAAGCACCAGACACCTCTCTCGTGCCTTTCAAAGGCATCCCGCTTTCACAAGGGGAGTGGAGGGTACAGCTTCTTGTCCTCCCCCACACAGGGGGCCGCCTCATATCACACAGGCCCCTCCTGGTCACCTGCCCTCCCAGGGGGACAACCAGAAAGGTTCCTGCTTTCATGCTGCAGCCTGGGTCACGGCTGCCACAAACACCACATGGGTTTGGAAGGTACATCAGTCCCCTCGAACAGGGTACTGGCAGGGGCTGCGACACAGACCCCAGATCCAGCTACAGAGAGAGCAAGCACACATGGGTTCAGATGACCTGTGGGGAGAGGCCTCCCTCCACAGCCTCAGGGGTCCATTCTCTCCTATTCGACAGGCAGGGCCCCTCTCCAAGGTACGTCCTGGCCCTACTCCCAACCGAGAGAGCCCTGTCTGCATGCCTCCTGGTCCGCCCCTCGCCAGAGCACCACAGTGGCTGCCCGTGGACTCATGGGTCCCGGAGAGGGCTCTTCTCATCTTTGTGGCCTTGGGTCACCAGCCGGCACCCAAAGATGTTTGTGAATAGACACACTAAATAATCATTTCCAGGGATTCTGACCACCAGCTTTGCCTCAATCAGACGCAACTCAATTCTGCAGAAACTTGCAGGTTTCTAAGACAGCACAGACACAGATGCCCCTCATTCTCCCTGTACCTTGAGCAGAGTGGTCTTCGTCGGGTCCAGTTTCGAGTTGCACTCCACCTGGACAGGGAAAGGGAGAAGAAATTTGTGAATTTTCCCCGTGGAGCCAAAGTCATAACCTCTCCCCCTTCCCTGCTGCTCTGCCGCCATCATCAGAGATTCCAGCACTCCTACTGGCAGAGAAGAACGCACGCTCTGGGATCAAACATATGTGAATTTAAATTCCAGCCCTGCCACTGCTAGCTATGAGACCCGGGACAAGTTAGTTCACTTCTTTGAGCCTCAGTTTCCTCATCAATAAAATGGGGATACTATCTTTTTCAAAGGGTTGTTATGAAGATTGTCTAAAATGTAGGAGGTGCTCCGGAAATATCTGCTGAATGAATGACGCCGTTTAACCAGCTGCTGCCAGTAATTCTGTAGAATGGACAGCCCCAGTCTTACAACTATTCTTCCCATGAAATCACATCCACCAAACTGGTTTCTCTCTGCAGTCTGTCAATGACTCTCTTGAAAGTGCATCCAGAAGTGGGCAGAATACCCACACGTAAACTGTGATAGTCAAAGTGCTTACTATACAACTATCACCTCCCTTGATGGGAACAATATATCTCTATTGATGCAGCCTATGATTATGTCCAGTGGGTTAGATCCCAAGAAACTCATGGTTCATTAAAACACCCCAGATGTTTACTAAATGAACATTTACAGATGCTGCTCTGTAGCCCACCGCATAAGACATGTCCCCACTCTAGGACTCTGCTCAATAGCCCCTAAGTCTCCAACGTCCCCAGCTACAGTGATGTTGGAAAGGTAGAGCTCCTGCTTTGCGTCCACAACATCACAGGTGGGAACGAAGGGGTGAAATGAGCCAGAAAGCCTCGCCTAAGCCCCACTCCCCAGGTGCCCCTCTGCCCTCCCAGTTGACCAGGCACCAACCAGGTCTGAAAGCTCCACCTGACCCCCAAATGGGAGGAGAGTCTCTTGGCCAGGAAGCCGAGTGGCAAAGATGCCCAGATAATCAAGCCAATGAGGGGCAGACTGGCAGGTAAGGGGCTGGGAGAGGAGACAGTGGGCCCACTGCCAAGCGGCCGGGGCTGGCAGTCATCAGGGACAGAGGCTGATGGCCGGGCTCTCTACCCAAAGGCCAACATGGCATTTAGAAGACGTGCCCGCCCTGATGGGAGCAGAGGAGGGGAATAAGGCGGGCAGGGAGACGTCACGCAACGTCTTAATTTCTGCAGAATTAAGCACAGAAACCAGCAGTTGATTTCTACATACCACAGCATCCACAGCAGGAGAATTGTCGCCAACCACCAACAGAGCAGGACACCTGGGGGCAGGAGAGATGGCAGGTTAACACAAGGTTCATTTAAAGACTCTCACACGCCCAGGCCTGCCGGGCTGGGACCAGAGTCCCAAAAAAGTGCATTTTGGTTTCCCCAGTACCCTTTGCTGTTTTTACTTCCTTCTCCCTCCAGGCTCTGCTTTGTTCTTAGGCTAAAACTGGTTAGCAGTCATTTACACCTTAGTATAATTTCAGCCAGACAATTTCTGTGCCCTGATATTTTTATTTTCAAGCACTCTCTCCTCAAAGAAGGACGGGTAGGATTTTGCCAGCAATCAAGATGAGAAGACAAAAAGGACATGTCTGACAAAGGAAACGGCATGGGCCAAGTTCAGGTGTCAAATAATATGGTTCACTTAAGGAACTATAAACAGACACGGTCATTACTGGTGGATACAGTTTGTCACATCCACAGCCGTCTTGTCCTCCCAGCTTCATAGGGCACCTTAGGGTGGGTTCATTTCCAGGCTCTGTGAAGCAAAGACTGACGCTGCATTTGATGTATGGTAGGGGCTTAATAAATCCTGTCCAAAGCATGAACATCGTTCCTTCTCTGAGATCAGAGGTCCCAACCCAGGTCACCGGGGCCCCCTAGGAACTGAACGCCTGCACAGGAGCAGGCCAGCGAGGCTGGGTTGGGCCCAGTCCCTGGGCAGAATACAGCCGATTCTCGCTGATGGCGACACCCTAGCACACGTCCGCCAAGCCCAGAAAGAGGCCCTGCCAGCATGTGTGGGCAAGGCCAACAGACAGCGTGGGGGAGAGAGCAACTCACTGCAGCGTGACGGTGTGCGCTCCGGGCATCGGCCGCTCGATCTCCAGGTCCCGCCGGCTGCAGGCAGCAAATGCACCATCAGCATCCGCAGACACCCCCCCGCTGGAGGAAGCCCCTCCCACCGCGCCCAGCCCGGGGGGGTCCTGCCATTGACCCTTCTGGCAAACCCCCCACACGCCAACCTGTGCGAGGTCATCTGGCTTTGGGGAAACCTCTTAGCTCTCCCCACCGCCGGCCTCTCCTAATGGTCAGCCACGGACACAGGCATGTCCTTCCTCCCAACCCTTTGAGGGCTCGGCTGCGTCCACTCGTGCCTGCGGCCCGCTGGTCAGGCGTGGTGGCTCAGCTCCTTGCAAGGAGCTCAAACCTCGGGGAGGCACCTTATTTCCCTGGGCCCTTAGGGTACCCCTGTCCTGACAATCAATTTGCTCCAATTCAGGGGCTGCATCTTCTACTAGTTTTGTGATCCCGCCACCTCGCCCCCCTGTTCCAGACCTACAGCAGGGGCCCGACCATGGCCGTGGTGCGGCCGCCGGCAGCCCCATACCTGTTGTAGGCGTTGATGAACAGGTGCAGGTTGCCGGGGTTCATGTCGTTCACGATGTGCTGGCGGTAGGTGTGGACCACCTCCACGTTACTCTGCATTTCCTCCTGCAGTCAGAGAGGGGGACATGCCCTTCACTGGGACTGGGGCCCTGCGCCGGTCACGGCCGTCCCCATCCTCCAGGTCACATAGGTACACAGGGAAGATAATCCTGTCTGATGCACAAGGCTGCTCCAGAGCCCAAGGAAACCTTTGGAAAAGCGGAAGCCACTCCCCGGATGCTGACTGCTGTCTGACCATCAGCTGCAGCACAAAGGAGCCTGCAGGGCAAAGCAGGCTCTTCTGGGCTCCGACTTAGGGGGTTCTGATTTGAATTAGTCCCCCTGGATCTGGAGCGTGGCTCCATCACTGCCCCTTTTCACGCCAAGTGCCTTAACCGCTCTGAGCCTCAGTTTCCTCAAAGAAAAAGGAGGAGGGATAATATTTCCTATTCTATCAGGTTGTGGGGTTTAACACAGGTTGTGCACCCAGAAGCCCCTTGGAAACAGTAAAAATCGACACAACTGTTAGCAATGATCGTTACTTAATGGGGAGAGTTGAAAAGAAGCTTTTCACGCTTGGAAAATAAAACCAACTCATGCAATGGGAAGTTGCCGGAAAGAAGGGCCATCCGGATTCCCGGGGGGTCACCCAGAGCCTTGCAGAAGGTCGGCCTCTACCTTGCCTCTCCCCGGCTCCTTTCCGAACGTGACTCGGGACAAGCCAGCAAGTTATAAGCTCGCTCTGGTTCTCATTTGTACATCGGTGGATGCTGCAGCTTTCAGAGAACATCCCGATGTGATCAATGACACCAGAGCAGGAGCCGGAGGGAGCGAGGGGGCCAATGTCAAGCCCCAGCCGCTGCCAAAACCATCCTCGATCATTTAAGCAACAGAGAGGCCAACCGGCTGTTCAAAGGCAAATCAGGAAAAAATAGGATGAGGAGCTGTGCTGGGGTTTCAGATCAAAACACAACTGAAGCCACATGGGGGCACCAACAGATACCCCAAGTAATTTGGGGTTCCATCAGACCAGACTCTCACCCTGGCCTTGACACCCTCCCCCTCCAAGGAAATACAGACACCGGCTCTGCTTCCTTCCATATCCCTATGAGGTTCCGATCATACACTCAGGGTGGAGAAAGTGTATCACCAACTCTGAAAAGCAACGTGAAAGAGGAACGAGGACCGCAGTGGGCTGAAGGGTGGCCCCCAAAGGCCGTGTCCGTGTCAGATCCCCCAGGCCTGCGAGTGTTCACTTATTTGGAAGAAAGGTCTTCACAGATGTAATTAAGTCAGGGATCCTGAGAGGAGATCGTCCTGGATTATCCTAATGGCTCCTGAATCTAATGACAAGTGTCCTCATAGGAGAAAAGCAGAGCGAGATTTGAAACAGACGCAGAAGAGGCGGCTATGAGAAGAGAGAGGCAGGGACTGGAGTGGGCAGCCACGAGCCCAGGAATTCCGAAGCTCCCAGAAGCTGGAGGAAGCAAGAAGGATCCTCCCCAAGAGCCAGTAGAGGGAGTGTGGCCCACCCAATGCTTGATTTCGGAGCCCTTTAAGCCATTGAGTTTGTGGTGTTTCATTACAGGAGACAGGAAACTAACATAAGGACCAAACGCAGTGGGCACGCTTCGCCAGCCCCACAGTGAACATCCGCATCCCTGGGGGGTCATATGGTCACACGCCTTAGCTGGGGAGCAGGCAGTGGGCAGTGGGCCACCTCAGTCAACAGAGCAAGTCACCTCGAGCTGGACACTGAGCGGTTTTTCAGTGTCTGGGCTTATGTCCAGGGGAGACACAAAACTGGAGTCAGGGGTCGTGCTGGCGGGGCTGAAGACGAACGGGACTTGGCTGGGCCCACCCTCAGCGGGGTCACTGCAGTACACCCCATCTGAGAGCCAGGCGACAACAGAAGCACAGACAGACAGACAGACAGGGTCGTGCTCTGGTTACAGGAACGCGCTCTGGAGCCAGACTCATAGGTTCGGATCCCAGCCCCCCTCTCCCTGCCTGTGAGACCTCACACAAGTTCCTTGACCTCTCTGGTCTCAGTTTCCTTATCCACAAACTGGTGAGAAAAACAGTACTTCTCACACGGGTCCTGGAGCTCCTGAGCAGATTCCATGAGTTAATACTTGTGTTAATACTCGCCTTAGGACTGAGCCGGACACACAGCAACCGCCATGGCTGTGTATGTTACAGGCTTTATCAGCAACAGTCCAGAACTGGAAATAACCCAAACGTCCACCCACAGTGAAGGAAAAACCAACTGCGGTCCATCGACACCACAGAATAGCACCCAGGATTGGAAAGGAGTGAAGAATCAATGTACCCAACAACAGAGATGGGTCTCAAAATAATTATGCTGAGTGAAAGAAGCCAGATTTTTTAAGAAAAGAGTACATACTGTACAATGCCATTTATATAAAAATCTAGGAAATGCAAATTAATCTATAATGACCGAAAGCAGATGAGAGGTTGCCTGAGGAGGAAGGAGAGGAGGATTACCAAGGGGCACAGGGAGCTCGTGGGGGCGATGCAGATGCTCAGCATCCCGATTTCAGTGCTGGTTTTATGGGGGCATTCTTATGTTAAAACCCTCAAGTTTTACGTATTCAATATGTGCAGTTTACTGTACTTCAATAAAGCTGCCAAAAAGCCTTATGTTAAAAAGAGAGAGAATGAACGGCTTGTGATCATGAATTAATAATGGCGAATTATTTGGTGGGTATCCACACGAGGCCCCCACCAGCTCGTGTCTTGTTCGTCTCTATGCCCCACGTGCAGGGCAGCACACAATTGCTCAGTGCGAACAACAGAATGCCAAGCCACGCTACTCACCTTCCCGAAGAGGTGGGACACCACCATGTCTGGAAGCGCTTGGGTCCATCCGGAGATCTGGGAAGAACAAGACCAGGTGGGTTCAGAAAGCAGGCGCTCGCAGCAGCACGAAAAGGCCAGCAAGGTCAGCAAGGTCAGAGTGGCAGTGCTGGGCTCCCCAGCACTCAGGTCTGAGGACGCTCCCTTGATGGGAACTTGGTCACCTGTCTCCAGTGACCTACGAGCCCTAAGGCTCCTGGAAAGCAGGGCCTGGGTCTCTGTCCACTCCTTGTCCTCAGAGCCCATGTGGAGATGATGGCCCATGAATGCTGAACCAAGACCCAGCTGGCTCCATGTTCCCTGCTCCAGAGTCAACCAAGTTCTCAGCAGGGGCGGCCCCGTCCATTTCTCCTAAACACACACTGAGCTCCCCCAGTCTACACCCCAGGATCTGCTTACTTCCCGCTACCCTTCCTGTATCATCCTCTAGACTTTCCCCCTCAAGCCAGTTTCCTCTCTCTGAATATACTGAGGATACTAAAGACACAGACGATCTTCTCCTCTCTACCTCTCCCCAGTGACAATGCTAGATATGTAGCAGAAGTTCCATAAATACTAGGTACACAGCAGGAGCTTTATAAATGCTAGATATATAGCAGGAGCTCCATAAATGCTAGATATACAGCAGGAGCTTCATAAATGCTAGGTATACAGCAGGAGCTCCATAAATGCTAGCTACAGAGCAGGAGCTCCATAAATGCTAGGTATACAGCAGGAGCTCCATAAATGCTAGCTACACAGCAGGAGCTCCATAAATGCTAGGCATATAGCAGAAGCTCCATAAATGTGTGTTGATCAACTTTAGCATCAGGCAGGGGAGAGAAATTCTAGACGGGGGGTCCTCGGCTGACCTCTGACTGCCATACCCCAGCTGTGTGGCCTGGGGCAGGTTGCAGAGCCTCTGGACCTCAGATTTCTCATCTGTAACCGGGGATGCCAGGAACTTCAAAGTCACAAGGCCAGGGTGAGAACCACACAAGGCAGCTACATGTGTCACAGGATCTGACCCCAGGGTCTGACATACTAGACCCTTGATACAGGTCTTTTTTCTCCAGGGCTGGGGCTGAAAAGGAAGGATGTGGTGCAGATATTAAAACCTCACACACATTCCTCAGGCTCCACTTTAGCCAACGGTCAACGTCCCCAGCCCTCCACGTCTGGCTCGGAATAGCCACCATGGAGCCAAACTGGCTGACTGCAATGTCACTTCCTTTGCTGGAAAATAAAATCAAAAACAGGGAGTGTGTTCCGCTTCTGAATGTCACGCGGGCAGGAGGGCAGGGCTCCCGCGTTCTGGAGGAAGGTTCCAGGGAGAGATGCAATATCAGAGTGGCCAAGATGGGTGGCGAGAGATGGGGGGAGGGGCACGACCCCCTCAAAACCTCTGTCCCCAGTGGTCACCCCAAACTTGGCAAAAACATGCTCAAAACGAGAAGCCAGGACCACCCCAGCCTGAAAGGCTTTGTCCTGTTTCAATTGGAATGGTTTCTGCCTCTTCTTGGCAAATACTGGGGACTTTATGAAAAACACAATAATCGTTTTTAAAAGGTAAACAAGGGATGCCAGGACGCCAGGCAAGGCAGAGCTCCGGAGACAGCGAGGGTCCCTTCTCCTCCAGGTGGGGATGCGTCCTGTCCCCTGCATTCCCAGACCTGCGGTCAAGGTGGGCATGAGACACCTGCTGAAGGGGACCAGAGAGGTGCTGAGCATAGCACAGAGTGGAGGCCGAGGACCACGGAGTCCAGGGGATCTGACCCCGTTCTCCTACTGTCCAGCTTGGCGTGACCCCAGACAGCTTCCTCAACTACTGGGGGCCTCAGTTTCCTCCTCCGTGAAACGGTTCTGACCACGCCGCCTCCTGGAGTGACTGTGAGGATTAAACGAGGTCATGCGAGGACGGCAACAGAGAGTCGAAACAGCACCTGGTCAACAGCCCATCTGCGGCAGCTAATTACTATTGTCGTAAAACTAAGTGGCAGAGGGTCACTAGCAAACACGGGTTTGTTTTTCATTAATAATAGGTGGGATTAGAGGCATTCGTCTTCTTCATCTTTTTATTCTCTGCATCCTGAGCAAAGCCCAGCACGTAATAGGTCCTCAGCGAATACTTCTTAACCCAGGCTATGCTGATCAAAGCTGGCTCGGGGGCCGAGGTCCCCCTGGGATCGCTGCCTTGGACAGCAGCATCCTAGTGAAATCTTCGGAGTAGCAAAACCTGAGGCCCTGTGCACATTCTAAGCAAAGCAGAGAAAACATGCTACCTTTGCTGGGAGTGGGGAGTAGGGAGTCGGGGGGACCCTCTACAGGCCGGGACCCCACCTGCCTGAGCCCGGCCCACCCCCTCACCTTGGAGGCGGCCCAGTCCATCCAGCCTTCTGCACAAGGGTTCACGTTGATGAGGACGAGGCCCTCCACCATCTCGGGATTGTTCAGCTGCAATTCAAGCCACGAGGTGAGCAAGACAAGCCAGCAATCGGAGATGCTACGAACGTTAACAGTCAACCCAAAGATTGGGCAAAGGCCCAGAAAAGGGCCTGTGGGGGCCCCCAGGGCAGCCTGCTGCTCTCCACAGGCTCCGACCCCTCCCGCACGCAGAGCGGAGGCCCCAGCGCAGCGGACGTGGGACTGGGTCCCTGGGAGAGTGGGGAGAGGGAGCACGGGAGCAGCAGAAGCACACGGGCTGGGCAGACCTGCCCTAGGCAAGTCGCCTGACCTGGCTGTCCCTCCATTTCCCGCCATGAATGGGGGTATCACACTGTCAACCTCACAAAGCAGGTGGCACATCAAGGCTCTTGCGTAATCAGGAGGCACTGTCTCCATCTCCTAGACACATCTCTAACACGCAGTGGAGACGTTATTTTATCTGCTCAGAACCTAGATATCCAGAGCGTCTTGTATTCGTGTCAGCATTTCTAATCTCTAGCAAAGTCCAGCAAATACAAGGCGGCCAGACACATACGGCTGAATAAAATGAGCATCGTTGCATTTTTAAACAATTCTTTGGTTAGGACACAAAGGCTCCAGGAGCACTGGACTTGGGCCCAGAGTCACATAAGTGACGACAGTCCTGCAAACACATGCAGCTCTGATTCTAGTTTAGGATCCGTCCAGATCCAAGAGTTCCTTGCCCTCACGAACCGTGCAGCTCTGACAAAGAAGTGGCATAGAGCACAGTGTCGAGAGGACCCGTCCACACTCGGCCGCTGAGCGAGCAAAGCCGGCGACAAAGGAATATGGCCAGTATGGCATTTCGGTGATGGAAAAGGAAAAGCTGTCACACTGCACGTGAGCACACACACACACATCACACACACACATAACCCTGGACCAGAAACCACAATGTGAACTGTGGTTCCCCCTTGGGAAATGGAATTCTGGGTCACTTCTTTTTTCCCTTTGGGATTTTTGAGGCTTTTCCAATTTTCGTCCTTAATCCTGAATCAATCTTATTTAAAACATCATTTTCAAAAACTGCCAAGAACTCACAGCAAATCGAGTGAGGATGTAGGCGCCTGCACCGGTTCCCATGCCAATGACGCTCTTCAGCCTGGAAGCAGAAATAAAAATTCATGTCATGGAAGAACGAGCGACAGGAGCCCCAAGAACCCTCTTCAAACCACCCCCTCCCTTGTCCCCTAAGGAGCCTGGTCTCCCCCAGCGTCTGTCCCGGTCACCCCTGAGGGCAGCCAGCAAGCTAGACAAAGTGGGAACACACTGCCGCGTGGCGCCCTCGAGGACCCACAATGCATCATGCTTCACGGCGAGACAGAAGGCCATGACCTTGGAGAGACTAGTCTCTCTTTCTCCTTTCTCTCCCGGCTGCCACCCAGGCTTGGAGACACTGTCTGACACTGATGGGAAGGTCCATTATGGCCCCCCTCCTTCCCACTCTGAAGCTTATTTTGGATTCTAAAATTTGGAATGACTCGAAAATAAATTGAGCAAGAACACTGAGGTATTATCTTCACATGAAAGGCTCAAGAAAGAAGGAAATGAGCCCTGGAGAAAGAAGGGCCTGCAGAGAGAAGCTGAGGGCTCAGGCAACCCTCTTCCAGAACGTTCTACTGGAAAGAGAAAGCAATGAAAGGAGAGGTGGCAAGGAAAGGATGAGTGGGGTGGTAGTCATCAGGGGACGTATTTACTCAGGGAGAAAAGCTCGACTTACAAGGGGCAGACCAGAGGAAAGAGACCATGTGAAAAACAGTGTTTACAAAGTGTGACGAGCTAATTTCTTCCCTCATCTTGAAACGCCAGTCTAAATTTGAGTGGTCAGGCCAGATCAAGGCCAAGGAGAGGCAGAAGCTAGAAGTCACCCTTCTCTGTAGGCGGGTGGGGGAGTGGATCCCTCACTCTTACCCAAACCGGTGCAGGACTCCGGGCAGCATTTCGGCCAGCTGGTCCATGGAGGGGTACATGTACCTTGGGAGAAGCCGTGCAGAGGCAGTCAATGAGAGCCTGGACCCCAGTGGAAAAGAATGCAAACTGGAAGGGCATTTGAAGGGCAGTGACCACGAACCAGCTGCCCCATGTGCTCAGGATCCCCAGTCTCGTCCCCCTGTAGCCACCATTCCGAGCACCCCACAGCGTACAAGCCTGCTCCGCTGAGCAAGGATGCTCTCCATTCCCACATCCTGCCCCTTTCGCTTCGTAAAGTGACCCTTTATCACTTGCTGCCTATGTTCCAGGTCCAACCCCAAGCATTCGATGAGCATTCTAAGCGCATTTAATCCTTACGATGACTCTATGCGGTTGCCATATTCCCCCCAATGTAAAGATCACAAACGTCACTGAGGCTGAGAGAAAAGCAACTTGGCTTCACAGGAGAGCAGGGGCTGGGAGCCACATCCCCCGTGGGCCCTGGGATTTCAAGGCCCATGTTCTTACTCACCTCCCCAAAGGAGGTGCCCTGGCAGCTCTCCCGTCAAGCACTCCTGACCGACCGTAGGGAAGTCCCATACCCCCTCACCTCCTCTCCCAAGGGATGCTGTGGGAGAAGCCTGGAGATGACGGTGGAGAAGGTGGGCCACCCCGATTAGCTGGATGCGGTGGGCTAACTGGGATTTCAGAAATGGATACCCAGGGGGATTTTAAGGCACAGGATGCCTCAACTCACACATCCTCTGGGACCACAGCACCTGTTAACAGAGGGCTGGGGAGCTGCCCTCTGTTCAAAACCGGTTCCTGACAGCAGGTATGGAGGAGGGTAAGACCGTGAGGCTTCACATTTGGGTGATGAGGAAGCCTCGGACTGCCCCAGGGTCTGTGCATTACGGTGAGGGCTTCTCCTCTGCAGGGTGCAGGAAACACCACAGTCTCTTATCACCAACTCCTTAGCAGGGACGGAAAGGGTTGCTTGTCCCCACTGGACCCACCTTTCCCATGGGCGTGCAGTCACCAACCCCTGGTACTAGACGGAGCCACTTCCCAGGCTGGCTCCTTCTTCTCAGCCAAGAACAACCCCACCCACCGCATCTCTCCTTCCAGATTCTCTGCCATTTCTAGGCTCACTTTTCTCTTGGCCTTTGCACATGCTGTTCCCTCTGCCTCCTCAGGAGCAAGCGTGTGCTCACCAGCTTGGAATTTCCACAAAGGAGGCCAAGAGCCCCTGCCCTGCCAGCTGCCAACAACCCTAGTCAGAGTTCCTACAGGTTGTCTTCCCAGGAGGAACTCAAAGAATTGTCCCTCCCACCAAGATCTTGGCTGTCACCAGGGAGCCTGGCCCTTTTTATTGAGAGCAGGTCCACAAGGCACACTGCGTTAGAAGCGAGCCCCTCCAAACATCCCGGGATCCTCTGGGCAGGTCCCTGGGAGAGCCATCAAGGATGCCTCACAAGATGAACGGATGGTCTGGGATGCTGGGGAAGCAGGGCTGGCACTGACTAGAAGGCATTTCACACTGCCGACCTCGGGGAGGAGACATCAGAACAGGCAGGAGGGAACTCCTTCCACAGATGTGGTTACTGGTCCTTACCGCCAGGCTCCTGGCGAGGCCACGAGGAGACCACATGAGCAAAGCAGACTCAGTCCAGGACAGGAGCCAGCCGGGGAGTAAACCAAAAGAGTGACTGTGACTAATGGCAAAGGCAACTAGGAGGGAGGTGAAAGTGCTGAGGGGGGCACCGAACAGGGAGACCTGTTCTGATCAAGTGGTCAGGGAGGGCTTCTTGGAAGAAGTGACACAGAAGGGGGGGCTTGACGAGTGAAGAGTGTAGGAAACGTATTCTAGGCAGGGGAACCAGCATGTGCAAACGCTCTGGAAAGAGCCAAAAAGACCCTGGCTGGTATGGCTACACACACGTGGAGCCATTTTCTTCTGAGACAGCCTCAGCTCAGTTTGAAGCCAGCAGCCTGCAAAGGGCGATACTGGGGATGCTGCTTAACTCCTGGGGCTTCTTTGCTCACTGCTCTCTGGGAGGGGGGGCCACAGCCAGGAGGCAACAGGACTCTCCTCCAAGGCCCCCACGTGCGGGAAGCTGACTCCAGAGCTTGGAGGAACCCAGCCAGGGGTCCCCATCCCTGCTTTGCCGTCTCAGCCTCAGGATGGAGGGCGGGCGGGCACCCTAAAGGGAAGAAGGGACCCCCGACTACAGGAGGCAGAAAGGAGCCAGGTCCCATGCAAACAGCAGTTCCACCAGCCACACCTGGCAACCTTGGGGAATGAAAACCCCGCACCTCAGCCTCCAGTTCAACTGCATAAAAATTCCTGGGGGGGCAGGGGCAGGCTAGGCCTCAGAAGATGTTTTAAACCTCCCCAGGGGGAGCTAAGAACCACTGGGTTCCCCAAGTCCTTCCAACAGTTGCCCCAGCCACAGACCGATTTACTGACAGACCTCTGGCTTAATCTGCTGGTTAACAATTAACTGTGTCCCACGGTATTAAGCAACTTTTAATTTGTGGTCATGGCCCCATGTGGCTGGGTGGCCCTTCCTTTGTTCTCTGATAAAGGTTAATTATTAAGGATAATTCGGAACACTAATAGAAAAGGAGATCTCTTTGTGAAAGCCAAGAAGGCCCCTTCTGCGAAAGTTTAAACCCAAGAACCTACTCGTGACCTGGTTTCATCAGAGCATTTTTTGGGGGGGGGGGGGAGCACCTCGAAGGGGTCTGCCTCCCCGACATGACACCAACTGTCCTGTGCGATTCACAAGCCTGTCCTCAGCCTCACAATGAGAGCTGCGTGCTGGGGACGAGCAGGCAGTGTGAGCACCCTGGGACAAGGCAGCCTGATGTTCCAAAGAAAGTACGAGTCTGAGAGTCGGGGTTCAAACCCCAATTCCCCAAATTAAACTAGCTGTGCAACCTGGAGCAAGGGAGTTAACCCCTCTGTGCCTCAGCTTCTTCATCTAGAAAATGGAGCTGCCAACCACGTACACTAGCCCTAAGGATTAAGTGCCAATGACACTTAAAATCCTAGAGACAGACGGTGGTGATGGCTGCACAACAACATGAATGTACTTAATGCCACCAAGCTGTACCCTTAAAAATGGCTGAAATGGTAAATTTTGGATTATATACCTTTTACCGCAATGAAAAAAATTACAAGCCACTCTAACAGCCCCCCACCCCCGACCTGTTTCCCCAGGCCGGCTCTCCCGTCCCTCTCGTGGGCTCCAGGGCCCCTCCTCTCACCCCACGGGGAAGGAGGCGGCGCCGTCCTGCTGGCCAGGGGCGTCCACATGGCAGACGGCAAAGTGCTGCGTGATCTCCTGCATGTCCTCGGAGTTGAAGAGGGGGTTGTAGCAGGTTTTGTCTGGAGAACGGGCAGGAGAGGGAGAAGAGAAGACGGAATGAGAGAATCAAATAGGTTGCTCAGTGGCAAAGCGTATTCATTTTGTTTCGCTCCTACTGAGCAGCGGGAAGGAACTTACAGGAAAGAAGCCCTATTCCTTTGTCCCCTGTCCCACTGTCCTCTGGTAATAAAAGGCAAAAATAAGTCATGGGGCAAAGGAGAGGGGGTGGAGGTGGGGATGGTCTGAACTCCAGGAGTCTGCCACTTCCAGCTGGTGCTGCAGGGGACTCCCATTCTGGCTCCTGCTCCGTCCCCATCAGTCATGGCCGTGATGGCCCTCCTACGAGGTGGGGTTGCCCCACTGATGCTCTCTTTCTCTCTGCATCTCCTGAGCCCTCACATCCGGGAGAATGGCCATGGCACACATGGTTTTCAAACAAGGAGGAGCACAGGAGCTGAAGCATGGACGCTCCCACTTCTTGTGTGGCCTTGGATGAGTTTCCTCATTGCTGAGGGCCTGAGACGAAGAGGCCAGCTGGTTGCCAAACCCTTTCCCTTCTCTTCCTCGACACACTGCTGGACTACATTTCCCAGCCTCCCTTGCAATTAAAGGCAGCCATGCTACCGGGTTCTGGCCAATAGCACGCGATGCTCCTCATTTCCTCATAGCACCTGCCACCAAGCCTCTAGGTTTCTCTTTCTTCTGTCATCTACCTGCCAGATGCAGAGGAGCCGGCAGAAGCCTCTGAGGCCCCAGGGTTGGCAACGCCACAGCTGGAAGGAGCCTGGGTCCCTAATCTCCATGTGGACGGTATTGCACAGAATGCCCACTGAGTTGTCACGTGAGAGAAATAAACGTATATTGTGTTAAGCCACAGAGGTCTTGGGTCTTCTGTTAAAACAGTCAGCTTCCTATAAATAACAATGAGCCTCTCTAAAACGGGGAAGGGACACCACCGTATGCAGCTCAATTTCCTCATCAGAGTCCAGGGCAATAATGTGACGTACATCAAAGTTCCTAGCATGGGATTGGGTACAGGATGGATGCAAGTGGGACAAACAGGGAAGAAAGTGAAATAAAAGAACGAAGAGTGAAGGAGAAAAATGGTTCCCAGTGACTGACATCACCCCCAGCCTCATGGTATTAACAAGCTCAAGGGGAAGAATGTCAGTCAAAAATCCAGCAAGCATCCAATGGCAATACTCAGGCTTACACAGATTCCCGGAGCAGGAAGGTCTAGAAGAACCTTCTGGATCATCCCAGAAATGTTTACTTCTATTCTGTGTAATTTCAATATTAAGGAGATCTTATCGTTTTCCCATCTAGAAAAATGGGGAAGCCACGTATGGTAACACTTCCTGGTAATCTTCAAAACTCCCAGTCTAAACATGAACAGCAGCAGTAGTCAGAACGGCCAAAAAGTGGAAGCAATCCTAATGTCCATCAGCTGGAGGATGATAAACAAAACGTGGCACGTGGCATGTCCATACAATGCAATATCACCCAGCACAAGAGAAGGAAATGCTGGGATTTTCTACAATGTGGATGAACCCTGAAACATCATAAAGCAGCCAGTCACAAAAGGCCACATACTGTGTGATTCCCTTTATACAAAATATCCAGAACAGGCAGATCCCGAGAGACAGAAAGTGGACGTGGTTGCCGGGAGCCAGGGGCACTGGGAGACTTGGGGTGGGGGGGTTGATAGAGAAGAGGACAGGATTTCTTTTCAGAGTTATAAAAATGTTCTAAAATCGACTGTGCCGATGGTTGCACAACTCTGTGAAAATACTAAAATCCACTGTACACGTTAATTAAAGGAAGTCACTGTCACCAAGACACATGGCGGAGGGGCTCCCTGACTTCCCAGCACCTCCAGGCACACAGACAACTCCGTGCCCCAGTGCAGAGCATTCCACGCCTTTCCAGTCTGTGGCAAGAGTTCTTCCCAGAACAGCTCCAGGAGGTCCCAGCAAAAGAGAAACAGCTGGAATCCTCGCCACCAGCCCTGCCAAGCTGTGCCCTTCCTCCACCCTCTGTGGGAACCACCTCACCAAGGACATGGCTCCCCGGGACTTACGGTTCATGCCAATGTCATGGTACGTGAGGATGACGGGCCGGTTTCCCTTGGGGGTCCCGCACAGCGTGACGTGGATGGAGCCATGCAGAGTCTCGATGTCCTGTTCCTGAGGAAAGACAGCAGACAGGGTGTCAGGCGGGACCTGCAGTGGCATCGCTGAGGCTGTCGTTTCTCACTGAGACACCCCGGGGTTTCCAACTGTGCTTTGAGGAAGCTCTGAGTTCACTTCTCATTTGTTCACAAGAGCGCTCAGCTTCGGGCGGCAGATCTGTGGCCAGTGACACCACTCCAAGAAGCACAGAGAGAACGGAAGGAGAGCTAGATGGAGAGAGAGGATTTAAGCCCCGAGAGAGGCTGGGGGTTGGGGTAGAAGGGAGATCAAGGTAGGCCCCCTCATCCTTTGAGGTCCATGCCTGTCAATCTGAGGAACTTGGCTCAAAAATAAAGAAAGAAATACACCCCAATTCTCAGGCTGTACCTCCAGAGCAGGAGAGCACAGTGTCTGTGCACGGAAAGCACATCAGCGGCTCCCTTCCCCATCGCAGGCAGAGCGAGGCAGGGGCCTCCCAGATCTCACTCCACAGACCCCCGAGGCAACCAAGTCTGAAGTTGGGGAACCACGAGGAGCATCTCCCAGACCGCCACTGTGCTCCTGGGAAGTGGGGAGATGCCAGCTCACGGGGAAGCGTGAATGCTTCCAGGGGACGGCGAGGGGTATACACAGGGCACCGTATGCAGGGGCCCTGGCTCCCTGTTAGTGCCCAGGCCCACCCACAGCAGTGTCCTCCTGGGCCACCTGCCTATTACTCCAACAGAATGAGTCCCCGGAACACAGAGTCCATCCATCTCCCTGGCCCTCTTTTTTCTCCTCAGGGCGTGACACTTTGCTCCTGTCTACACAAGCACTGGAAAAATCCACAGAGCATAGATCAATGGCCTGGCCCCCAGTGCAGGCTACCGATCATCTGCTGGGCCCAGTCCTGGCCCCGAAGCCACTGTGAGAACAATGGTCCATTGTAGGGGCCACATTCTCTATTGTCTCCCCAGCTGAGACACATGGTGCCCTCTAAAAATAGGCCAGGCAGCGTCCCCACCAGCCTGGGACATCAGGGTTCAAATCCAATCTCTGCCTCTCCCCAACCCCTTTGAGCTCCCTGGTCCCCACCTGCAAGACAGGAGCCAGCCGCCTCACCCCGGGCTCCTCAACAGAGGAGGCGGCCTGGTGGTGGCAGCCACAGCGCCAGGTGGAAAGGGATTTCTCGGTACGTGGTGGCTGAGGGCTTTAACGAGGTGCCTGGGCACTACACCTCGGGGGCAGGTATGGGACATCCAGCCCCGGCTGACATCAAAGATGTTCCCAGCAGCTCCAGGGGTGGGGTTGGGTAACAGATGTTGAGTCATCTCTTCGGAGGCCTTAAAGTTAGACAGCTGTGGAACCAGAACGACCTCCGTCCAAGAAGGACGGATATTTACCGCCAGGTCCTCAGGCCCTGCTGGATAAAGACCCGAGCCTCACGGGATCTCGGTGAACACAACTTCTCTAACAAAGTGCTTAACTATCTCTGGTCCAGGCTCCACTCAGCCCCTTATTTGGAAAACCAGGCTTGGACCCCACGTCTGCTGGGCCCTCCTGCTGTTGGCCCCCATCTGTCCTCCCCTGAGTTCTGGGCCCTCCAGCCCACCCAGGGAGGAGGAGGAGGAGGAGGAGGAAGGAAGGCAGAGGCTACCTTCCCCATGCCGAGTCCTGTTCCTCAAGTCACACACACACACACACACGGGTCAAGCCAGCCCTGGGGCAAGCCCTCCACTGGCCCAAGCCAAGAAGACTGTGCCTGAGACCGGATGGAGAAATAAAACACTCACAAACACATGCCTTCGTCTCCTGCGGTTCCAATGGGACATTCGGTCCTTCTGCCCCTGTGGGGACGAATCACCCAGTGTCCTGGAGGGAGGAACCCGCCCTCCGCCCTCTGTTCCCCCAAAGACAGGGCACCACGGAAACGAGAACATCAGAACCGCCTGGTTCGCTTGGCGTCCTCCTGCCTGAGAGGGGAAAGCCCTGTCCTGGGGCTCGTCAGGGGTCTCCTGCGGCTGGGACGGTGGCTGGAGACCCTCACACGACACCTCTGTCACCCAGACCTCCATCCTCAGCTCTTCCACAGTCCCGCACCCGATCTCAGGAGCCCTGCTCACAGGCGCCTGAGCCAGCAAGGGAGGCAAAGCCACGCTGTGCAGATTTTCCTCCCACCTCCTCTGGTGCAGAGGGGACGGCAAGATGGTGGGGCAATCCCTGTATCAGCCGTCGTGTCTTCCTGCAGGCCCTGCCCCGAGCATTTCACAAGTGTTCTCTCATTGAATCTACACGACAACCCCACTGAGTAACGTCTGTCCACACCTGACAGGTGAGGAGACCCAGGCAGAGAGAGGGGAAGTAACTTGCCCAAAGTCACACAGCTGGAATGGTGCAGCAAGATCTGAACCCAAGACCATCGAAGTCTAAAGCCTCAGAAGCTCTTTGACGTCTGTTTTATACTCTGTGCCGTGTCACATGGAGAAGTGAAACCTTTAATGTGTGACATGCACGGTGGCTCTCTAAAGAGGGACTCGGTAAGTCAGGTCTCCCACGGATGGGACTGTAGAACTCTGTTTATCTCCCCAGCATCTCCAAGGACCAGCAATCCACGGGGCATGACCTAGAACACACTGGCACACGGAATAGGGAAATGACATCAGCTCCTCCCATCCTCCCCAGTGTGCATCCGCCCCAAACTGCACAAATGTGCGACAGGGGTGTCGGACTTGCAAAGGCCTCAGCACAAAGGTCCTTGCTAGGACGCCCTGCCGGCCACCCACGGTACATATGACACACGGCCCCTTGTTCTCTTCTTGGGACCACCTCCCACAGTGACAAATATCTGTGTCATAGCTGCCTCCTCGATCTCGCTGCCAGTTCCCAGAGGGCAAGGCTGGCTCTGCCATAGACAGGGTTGGGCGCAGAGGAGGCACCTGGAGATTTACACGGTCTACAGTGGTGAATGGCACCATCCCAAGTGTCTACACCGCCTGTAAGCCGGTAAGAGGTGAAAACAGCTCCCACCACTAAGTCTTCCTCAAAGATTGCGTCTCTTTGGCTGTCAGTTGTGGTTTGGAGCTTTATGAACTATGGCAGACTGTGGCGGTCAGCCTCCGGGACCTGCGCTGTTCCCTTCTTTAGGGCGGTCAGAAGACTCAGTTCTGGCCAAGGAGATGTCAGCAGAACCTGCTGGAGCTTTGAGGAGAATTTTTTAAAGGGTCATACTTGGCCTTCTGATTTTTCCATTTCACCCTTCCACTTGCTTACTACCTGGAACATGGATGAGATGCTCAGGGATTCAGCAGCCACTTTATGAGCATGAGGACAAAAGCTACATACTCAGGATGACAGACGAGGAAGCTGGAAGGAGTCTGGGACTGGGTGACATTCACTTCCTGCTGTAGTAGGCTTCTAGGTTAGTAAGAATAACAGACATTTCCTTATTTAGGACACTGTTTTTTGAGTGAGAATTAATAATACTAACGATACACCCACCATGCGCCCTTGGCCAAGTTACCCAACTTCTCTGAGAATTCCTTCCCTCAGCTGTACAGTGAGGTCAACAACAAACCCATCTGCTCACGGAGCTGCTCCCAACACTAAAACCGTGGGAGCAACTGGGAAGTGTTTTGCAAATTGCACTGTTTCCCTCCCTGTCAGTTGCTATGGACGCCTGTCCCAGAGACATTACCAGGAAGCCACGAGGGCCAGACGCATAGCTTAAGTCAACTGGCTGGATGATCCAGGGAAGCCCTGGGACCAGCTGCGGCCGCCTGCTCTATAATCCGCCTGCCCAGCGCGCCCTGGGGAGACGCTGGACACTCTGGCCTGAGACGACGACACGCTTACCCAGGCTCCAGTCAGCTGTGCCCTGGGCTGCCCCTCCCCTCGGTCCAGCAAGCCTAGATCCAGGCGAGGCCCGAGGGCAGAGGGCTCCCTAAGGAACAACAGGCAAAGAAAGCAGGTTCTGGCTAATGGGACGCAGCGGTAAGGTTTGTTAAGGCAAGAAAGGCAATCAAGAGAACGAGGCTCAAGAGGAAATCCCGGGGGCCCGTCCCACCACCAGCTTTCTGGGAAATCACGCGCACCTCCCCAAGCTTCCTGGGTCACCTCCTGTGCCCGAGTGGGGGAGGGGGAGGCACGGCTGCATCACTGATCCTATCCTTCCCCTTAAGTGAGGAGCACATGAAGGATGACGATGACCGGGGAGGCTGCCTGTGTGGAAGGAACACAACAGTATGTAAGGACAACGGTCCCGTTAACTGAGCAAATACTATAAAGCCACATCTGGACCCTGTGCTGTCAGGACGGCCATTTCACAGGTGGAAAAAGCCAGCCTGTGGGGCTGGCACCCAAGGGACACCCCTGATGGGAGCAGAGTTAAGATTCTGGATAGGGCCTTGGGCCTCCAAGCCTCAGGGTTGCAGGAGACGTGGGGCCATGGGGAGGACAAGACAATCTCAGAGGTCAAGCTGGACCCGTGGTGACTCCTTGCATCTCTCAGGTTTCTTAAACGTTGTCATCACTTCAAGAAAAAGAAAAGAAGTTGGAGAGGCAGGAAACGGGGTGCTGGGGGCAGACGGGGGGCAGGCTGGGAACACAGCATGAAGCTGGGACCACACCCAAGAGCGCAGTTCTCCAGGCAAGGATGAACGAGGAGGGAAGACCTTCTTGGATTAGGGAAAACAGCAAGAGCAGAGCGACGACCATCCACGACCATCCACGGCCATCCACCCCGGGAGCAGAGGAGCGAGGCCGGAGGAGGCCGCGGGCTGAGTCCCATGCGACGGTTATTTCATTTCGCAAGACTGGCGGGGACAGTAATGCTCCTCCCCTTTCTACAGATTAGAAAACCAAGCCCCAGAGGAGTTCAGGCAATGGGCCAAGGACACAACAGCAGCAAAGACAGAGCAGAGCTGACCCCGCTCCTGTCCACAGCACCCGGTCTGCGACACCGGGAGATGGGCGTCTACACTCGGTCCAGCCTGGGCTGGACAGACCTGGGGAGGGGATGAGAGCCCCACGATGGGGGT